TGACCCCAATCTTGTGAGGACCCCTTCACCCCAATCTTGTAAGGACCCCCTGACCCCAGTCTTGTGAGGGTCCCCTGACCCCAATCTTGTGAGGACCCCCTGACCCCACTCTTGTGAGGCCCCCCTGACCCCACTCTTGTGAGGCCCCCCTGACCCCAGTCTTGTGAGGCCTCCCTGACCCCAGTCTTGTGAGGCCCCCCTGACCCCAGTACTGTGAGGACCCCCTGACCCCAGTCTTGTGAGGACCCCCTGACCCCAGTCTTGTGAGGCCTCCCCTGACCCCAGTCTTGTGAGGCCCCCCTGACCCCAGTACTGTGAGGGAGCTCCCTGACCCCTGTCTTGTGAGGCTGGGTGGGGTGTGTGGGGGGGGTGTTGTGGGGCTGGGAGGAGGGGGGAGGGGTTGTGGGACCGGGAAGAGGGGGGGGGAGGGGTTGTGGGGCTTGGAGAAAAGGGGGGGGGGATGTTGTGGGGCCGGGAGGAGGGGGGGGGTGGATCAGATAACCATCTACCCCCCTCCTCTCACCTGTACACCTCCCGTCACTGCCCAGGATAACCATCACTGGCAAACTGTGGCTCGGGAAGAACAGTATTGTCCACCCGTCACCCCAAGTCTAGTCTTATCAGGGCTGGGGATCACCTGATGGGCCTGGGGGTCATCTGATAGGGGGCCGGGGGGTTCACCTGAGGTGTTCAACTGATGGGACTTGAGTCACCTGCTTGGATTACCTGTTGCAACCCGTCGTCAGAGTCCATTCCATCCAGCGGTCGACCCCACAGACGCATTCATCAATTTCAACATGCTGTTCATTCAAAATAGGAATTTTCTCAGTTATAAATTAATATTGTTATATATTAGCATATTGTGTATATATAAGCATAGGTTAGGTTAGGTGTTTAGGTTCTGTTGGCGATTATTTGTATTTGTAGTCCGTGGGTGAAGCATTTACAGCGTTGTGGTTCGAACAACAGTCGTCAGTGAAGCACTTGTTCCGGAAGTGTTCGGACGTCATCAGTTGTGAGTCGTGTGTAAACCGTTTTTCAGCCATAAACAGCGGGTGCATGGAATGGTCTTTGGGTTTTTGTTGATGAGGACGGGCTTGTGCTGTACCGTCTTGAGTACTGCTCAGTACTCACTTCCCCCTTCAGAGCAGGAGAGATTGCTGAAATAGAGGGAATACAGAGAACATATACGGCACGCATAGACGAGATAAAACACCTAAATTATTGGGATCGTCTCAAAGCTCTCCAAATGTACTCACTAGAAAGGAGACGAGAGACATGCCAAATAATATACACATGGAGAATACTGGAGGGCCAGGTACCAAATCTACACAGTAAAATAACAACGTACTGGAGTGAACGATATGGAAGAAAATGCAGACTAGAACCGGTGAAGAGCAGAGGTGCCATAGGCACAATCAGAGAACACTGTATAAACATCAGAGGTCCGCGGTTGTTCAACATCCTTCCAGCGAGCATAAGAAATATTGCCGGAACAACCGTGGACATCTTCAAGAGGAAACTAGATAGTTTCCTCTAAGGAGTGCCGGACCAACCGGGCTGTGGTGGGTATGCGGGCCTGCGGGCCGCTCCAAGCAACAGCCTAGTGGACCAAACTCTCACAAGTCGAGCCTGGCCTCGGGCCGGGCTTGGGGAGTAGAAGAACTCCCAGAACCCCATCAACCAGGTATGAGCCAGTTGGTGAGGACGGGCTAAGTGTTGGCGAGGACGGGCTGGTGTTGGCGAGGACGGGCTGGGTAGGCTTTTGGGGGCTCAGGGCTGGACGGAGCCTCCTTCAGGGTAACGTGTGTGATCTGCAGCCTGCATGTTAGCCCTGGAGGCCGAGGCAGGCCCTGGCAGGAGGAGGAGCCGAGGCAGGGTCACGGGGGAGCAGCGCCTTATCGGAGATGGAAGCATTAATCTCATCAGCGTGTCAGCTTTCATCTTGATTGTCACGCCGCTGGCGCTCTCTTATTCAATTTATATTAAACGTTACCTCCGTAGGGAGAGTGGGGGAGAGTGGGGAGAGTGGGGGAGAGTAGGGAGAGTGGAGGAGAGTAAGGAGAGTAAGCCGTGGTGCTCACCTTACTCTACTTATGGTGTTAAATAAGGTACTAAGTCATGTTAAATAAGGTACTAAGTCATGTTGTTACTTCAGGTTTATTTCTCATTCCTTGTCGTCGTCTGTTCTGGGTGCCGCAGTTTGTGTTCTCGTTAGGCGTTGTCGTAGTGCCTCTGGGCAAGGGGGGGTGGCGAACCAATGGCACACGTGCCCAAAGTGGCACGCCGGCAACTATGGCTGGCCTTGCAGTTCTGATCTTGATGTTCATATTTATTAGTGTTAGTATTATTATTTGCTACCACAAACGTGGCCAGACATTTACAATGCTAACCAACATATATACATGTTCGTCTGTCCTCCATGGGCAGGGTTAAAGTTCTGTTAAAGATATCGTTCAGTGATTTGTTGAATATTCCTAGAGGTAGTCATGCCGGCTTGGCGTCAGTGGACGGGTGTGAGAACGTCAGGAACACGTTTTGAACGCGTCGCAGACCCCGTGTTCGGTTTGATAACAGTGGCATTGGCATTGGCTTCGCTCTGCTTATATATATATATATATATATATATATATATATAACTGAAAACTCACACCCCAGAAGTGACTCGAACCCATACTCCCACAACTGGTATGTACAGGGACGCCTTAATCCGCTTGACCATCACGACCGGACATAAGGAAGTGATAGCCGAGGCTATATGAACCACTGCCCGCCGGCACTCGGATGGTAATCCGAGTGCCGGCGGCACTCGGATTACCGAGTGCCATGAACTTGATAACATGACTTATTACCATCCGAGTGCCGGCGGGGCAGTGGTTCATATAGCCTCGGCTATCACTTCCTTATGTCCGGTCGTGATGGTCAAGCGGATTAAGGCGTCCCTGTACATACCAGTTGTGGGAGTATGGGTTCGAGTCACTTCTGGGGTGTGAGTTTTCAGTTGTATATAGTCCTGGGGACCATTCAGGCTTGTTTGCATATATATATATATATATATATATATATATATATATATATATATATATATATATATATATATATATATATATGTTTCTTCTGTTGTTTGCAAATAATGTCTATTGCTTACAGGGTTTCTGAAAAGCTTTTAGTTATTTAGATCTCTCTCTTGATACACTTTTGTTAATAGTAAAGCACTAAATATACACTTAAATATGTAACAGAGGCACATAAGACGTTCATTATTATATAATTATTGCTACTAAATCATTCATTTTTATTTGGTAAAAACTAGAGTTATTAATAACCCATAACTCCTAAAGCTGTACCGGTTAAGACACTTCAGAAGATGTACTGCTTTGCCTTATCAACATTATTTAAGAATACTTTCAAGCATTTTGTTATCTTTCTCCATAAAAAAAATGGTAAAATACAAATTGAATATAGTATAATCTGCTCCTCAAATTTCCCCACGGGCACGAGAGATATAATTATTTAAAGGATTATGGCTATTTTTGGGGCACTCGCTTAAAAAAAAAAAAAGGTTCGCCAAGCCTACCCTAATCCAGCCTACTGACTTCTCGGGCATATTTCCCTCTCCCTCTGCCCCCATGCCGCAATAGGCTGTATGATCAAGTTGAAAGTTCAGATTGGGTTGTTAGGAAGAAAGAGAAGCTCAGGAACCAGCTCTTCCTCGCACCGACAGTGTTATTCTGTACAAGGTGTACACCTGTACACCTTGTACAGGTGTACAAGGTGTACACCTGTACACCAGTTGCAGAGTTCTCCTGGCAGTATGGGTTCGAGTCACTTCTGGGGTGGTGTGAGTTTTCAGTTGCATATATGCCTGGGGACCATTCAGACTTGTTCGCATATGTATATGTATATGTATATATATATATATATATATATATATATATATATATATATATATATATATATATATATATATATATGTCGTACCTAGTAGCCAGAACGCACTTCTCAGCCTACTATGCATGGCTCGATTTGCCTAATAAGCCAAGTTTTCATGAATTAATGTTTTTTCGACTACCTAACCTACCTAACCTAACCTAACCTAACTTTTTCTGCTACCTAACCTAATCTAACCTATAAAGATAGGTTAGGTTAGGTTAGGTAGGGTTGGTTAGGTTCGGTCATATATCTTCGTTAATTTTAACTCCAATAAAAAAAAATTGACCTCATACATAATGAAATGGGGAGCTTTATCATTTCATAAGAAAAAAATTAGAGAAAATATATTAATTCAGGAAAACTTGGCTTATTAGGCAAATCGGGCCTTGCATAGTAGGCTGAGAAGTGCGTTCTGGCTACTAGGTACGACATATATATAACTAATATATATATATATATATATATATATATATATATATATATATATATATATATATATATATATCACAATTTTCAAGGCATTTTATACGAATGTCGGCGCCAAAGCCTACCGATGGGAGGCCTGGTCGGTGACCGGGCCGCGCGGACGCTAAGCCCCGAAATCATCGCAAGGTAACCGCAAGATATATCATAGTATATGCTGTATCCAGGCCACCACAGGCAATTAGAACAAGTGAACAATCAGAGAACACTGTATAAACATCAGAGGTCCGCGGTTGTTCAACGTCCTCCCAGCGAGCATAAGAAATATTGCCGGAACAACCGTGGACATCTTCAAGAGGAAACTAGATTTATTCCTCCAAGGAGTGCCGGACCAACTGGGCTGTGGTGGGTATGTGGGCCTGCGGGCCGCTCCAAGCAACAGCCTAGTGGACCAAACTCTCACAAGTCAAGCCTGGCCTCGGGCCGGGCTTGGGGAGTAGAAGAACTCCCAGAACCCCATCAACCAGGTATCAAGGTTGACAAAGTATGGTTGGGCTCCGGTAAGTAAGTGAGTGAGTGAGTGAGTGAGTGAGTGAGTGAGTGAGTGAGGGAGCGCGGCGTGTGATCCACCAGGCTGTTACTGTATGTGTCGTTACAGGCTGCTGAACGCCAACAGGATCTCCTGCTTGAGGAGGGACGCCTTCACCGACCTGCGGAGCCTCAACCTGCTGTAAGTGCCACTCAGACCTCACCTTTCATCAGGTACCAGGGGGGGGCCAGATTCACGAAGCAGTTACGCAAGCACTTACGAACCTGTCCATCTCAATCTTTGGCGGCTTTGTTTACAACTATTAAACAGTTAATGAGCTCGGAAGCACCAGGAGGCTGTTTATAACAATAACAACAGTTGATTGGCAAGTTTTCATGCTTGTAAACTGTTTAATAAATGTAACCAAAGCCGTCAAAGATTGAGGAAAGATGTACACGTTCGTAAGTGCTTGCGTAACAGCTTCGTGAATCTGGCCTCAGGTGTACAACGTATATTTTGTCTTACCTCTCCCCTAGTTCTCTTCCCCCTCCCAGCCCCCCCCAAAATGTGGTTCACCCCCTCCCTCCCCCCCCCCGTGCTGGGGACACGCTCCCCCCCCCCCACTGTACGAGCACCACTCGTCTTAAAATGGCTGTTGTTACCTCCCTTGTCAATTACTCTGCGAATTTTGTATCCAGTAATCATGTCTCTCTCCTAGCTCTTCTGTCTTCCAGCCACGTCAGGTTTAATTCCAGGTAGTCTTTCCGCGTAGCTCAGGCCTCTCATGAACAAATCCACAAGGGCCGTGACGAGGATTCGAACCTGCGTCCGAGAGCATCCCAGACGCTGCCTTAAATCGACTGAGCTACGACATGGTCAAAAGGAGTTGAAACCGAAGTTCTACTGAACTTACTGGATCCTGCAGCCTCTCCGAGACACAAACCAGGGTTTTACACAACTCCCCCCGTGCACTCGAGCTATGTCAATAGGCCGTTCTCCCTCTTCGCCCTTACTTCATTACACACAGAAAAGGATTTCTGTGTCTCATGCCTCTCAGTTCTGGGACGTGTCTGGTGGCATACCTTTTTGATGTGGGGCATCACGTTTGATGTGGTATCAAGACCAGATGTTGGTACCTCATCAACACTTTCTAGTTGATTCCTGTAGGATTTGATCGCTTAGTTGGCTCTCTTGTGACTAGCCTCCTGCGTCCTGCACTTAGTTTAATTCCTTTGCACTTAGTTGAGTTAAACTCACGAGGCCATTTGTTGGATCATTCATTTAGTTTGTTCAGGTTATCTTGTAGCCTCTTGCTCTCAGCCACAGTCTTAGTCCCCCCTCGTCAATTTGGCATCTTCAGTAAACATTGAGAGGAATGAGTCTGATTTACCAGTTTGTGTGTACTGTACTTCTGTACTGTACTGCTGTACTGTACTACTGTACTGTACTGCTGTACTGTACTACTGTACTGTACTGCTGTACTGTACTACTATACTGTACTGCTGTACTGTACTACTATACTGTACTGCTGTACTGTACTACTGTACTGTACTGCTGTACTGTACTACTGTACTGTACTGCTGTACTGTACTACTGTACTGTACTGCTGTACTGTACTACTGTACTGTACTGCTGTACTGTACTACTGTACTGTACTGCTGTACTGTACTACTTATGTGTGTTCTCTTACACCAGTTCCTGATGTACCAGTTCCTATTCTTCTGCCAGTTCCTATTCTTCTGCCAGTTGCTGTTCTTCTTCTAGCCGGTGTGGCTGTACCTGCTGATTCTTAACTCCCTTCATTGTATAATATTAAACAAATTGCATTCTTAAAGAGTGTCAATTAACCCATTTTACATTATTAAACCACACATATATTTTTTTCATTTTTATTTATGCACTTTTATAATGAGAGATTATCGTGGGATATCTTAAACTCACTCACTCATTCTCTCTGTCTCTCTCCTCTCTCTCTCTCTCTCTCTCTCTCTCTCTCTCTCTCTCTCTCTCTCTCTCTCTCTCTCTCTCTCTCTCTCTCTCTCTCTCTCTCTCTCTCTCTCTCTCTCTCTCTCTCTCTCTCTCTCTCTCTCTCTCTCTCTCTCTCTCTCTCTCTCTCTCTCTCTCTCTCTCTCTCTCTCTCTCTCTCTCTCTCTCTCTCTCTCTCTCTCTCTCTCTCTCTCTCTCTCTCTCTCTTTCTCTCTGACCTTATTTTTCAAGACTCTTTTTCCAGACAAATTTTCCAATGATCGTCCGTCTTGTTCCAAGGCCATTAGGATATTCTGACGTTCCTTATTCTCGCTGCCCCCGTATCCGGTTCCTGTCCCCTGAAGCCCCCCCATCATCTTCTCCCCTGACACCCCCCCCCCCAACCTGGCCGTATGGCAGGTTCTACCCCTGATAAGTGGTGTCCCCTGTTCGCAGCTTCCCTGCGCTCCCCTGTGATAGAGTTGTGACTGACCTGCTTTTGGCGGAATGTCCAGTAGAGAGAGAGCGGGGGATGGTCTCTCTTCTTGGCCTCGTTACTTGGTAGCTCCTTGGCTTCCTCCTTCTCCTGAGGATTTCTCTGAAGACTGAGGAGACTGCCTCCTCTAAGAGCCCTCCTTGGCTTCCTCCTTTTATCCCTCTATTTCTCCATCTCTTGCATCTTATCCTTCACTCAGGTCTCTTTACTAAGCTGCATCAATGGATTAAAAATCCAAGCCCATATCCCACACATCTGTTCCTGGGATATCCCTATCCCCACACCTGCTGTCCCTACCCCACATTCCACCCCCTATCCCACGAAGGCTGATGCATATATATATATATATATATATATATATATATATATATATATATATATATATATATATATATATATATATATATATATATATATATATATATGTCTAGTATGAGTTGATATGTACCTGTACTGACGGCTGCTGCTGACCCAGCACCTTCACAACGCGACCGCAACGGTTGACAGGACGTTGCTACGACGTATACGATTGTCAAACGTTGCAGTTAGGTTGTGTGGTGGGTGGCAGCCACGGGTGGGTGGCAGCCACGGGTGGTGGGTGGCAGCCACGGGTGGGTGGCAGCCACGGGTGGGTGGCAGTCACGGGTGGGTGGCAGTCACGGGTGGGTGGCAGCCACGGGTGGTGGGTGGCAGCCACGGGTGGGTGGCAGCCACGCCCGTCTAGCGGTGGCGGGAACACTAACCTTCTGGTGGCGCCATTACAGGTCCCTGTACGATAACAACATCAAGACCATCCAGAATGGCACCTTCGACACCCTCAGCAGCATCCAGACCTTGTGAGTATAACCCGTGAGTGAGTATAACCCGATATACTCACCTTGTGAGTGTGTATAATGCCACGTCCTCTCTCTCTCTCTCTCTCTCTCTCTCTCTCTCTCTCTCTCTCTCTCTCTCTCTCTCTCTCTCTCTCTCTCTCTCTCTCTCTCTCTCTCTCTCTCTTTACCGGGCTATTCATGCCCGTGCCACTTCTTCGGGTGGCCTAATCTTTATCAGTTAATCTTCCTCTCTCTCTCTCTCTCTCTCTCTACTTCCCTTATTTAACGCTCTTCCTGATGACGACTTCTTTGTTTATACAGCTGTAGCGCTGCTATTGTATGCGCACGGCAGGATTGGGTAATTTATGCGCTGTGTTGGGGGGAGGGGGTGCGTGCGTGCGTGCGTGCGTGCGTGAGGTAAGGTATGGTATAGCTATCACCAGAAAGCACTATATGCCATCACGACTATATATGATACTTGAAAAGGATATAAGGATTTGGGATTGGACGGAGGATAGGAATGGTGTCCAACCATTTGGGGAGTCGGGGATTGAACGCCGACCTGCAAGAAGCGAGACCGTCGCTCTACCGTCCAGTTTATGTCGTGTGTAGACGGTTTTAAAAGAGGGGAACTCGGCATGTATATGCAGGTGTTTCTGGATCAGCCCAGCTGTGGTGGTATGGGGCTATGCGAGCTGCGAAGGCTAACAGCCTGATTGGCCGTTATCAGGGGAGACTGATTGCACTCTTGGATGTTATAAGAGGAGTACAATGGAGAGCATCAACAGGTAGTCTGATCAAGTCAGTCTAATCAACAGGTAATCTAATCAGCAGGTAGTCTAATCAACAGGTAGTCTGATCAACAGGTAGTCTAATCAACAGGTAGTCTGATCAACAGGTAGTCTAATCAACAGGCAGTCTAATCAACAAGCAGTCTCATCAACAGGTAGTCTAATCAACAGGCAGTCTAATCAACAGTCAGTCTAATCAACAGGCAGTCTAATCAACAGGCAGTCTAATCAACAAGCAGTCTCATCAACAGGTAGTCTAATCAACAGGCAGTCTAATCAACAGTCAGTCTAATCAACAGGCAGTCTAATCAACAGGTAGTCTAATCAACAGGTAATCTAATCAGCAGGTAGTCTAATCAACAGGTAGTCTGATCAACAGGTAGTCTAATCAACAGGTAGTCTGATCAACAGGTAGTCTAATCAACAGGTAGTCTGATCAACAGGCAGTCTAATCAGCAGGTAGTCTGATCAGCAGGTAGTCTAATCAACAGGCAGCCTAATCAACAGGTAGTCTAATCAACAGGTAGATGTCAATTGAGTATTTCATATTACTAGCCTCGGGAGCTGTCATAAATCTCAGAGTCCTGTTGATCTAAGACAGTGTACCTTCATTAGGTAAACTACGTTTAAATTCTTGTTGTCCGTAAACCCACTATGCCAAAAAGTTATGAAGAGTTGTGAAACGTGAATGGCCCGATCCGTAGAGTTTATTATGCTGGAAGATTTATCTGTATATATACTGTAATTGGTAGTATGAGGTTCTTGCTGTCGATCTTCCAGGAGAAGTTTCCGGTTGCTGGAAGAGCAGACTTTGAATCACAAAATATTATTCCTCCTGCAATGTTTTTTTTTTATGTACTGGTAGCTAGTTGTAGTGCTGCTAGTTCTGCTTGTGAACGCTGAGTTCTGCTGAGGTTAGTTAGTTGTTTAATACGACAATCCTGAGCACTCCAGGTGCAAACTCTGTGAGCAGGAACTGGGGGCATGATCTCCCACACTACATCACCGAATGTCCAGTTATTAGACCATTCAGACCCGTTGGCATGAGGTACCTGGAGCTTTGTAATGACTTTATTCACTCCCGTGTTCTTGAAGATATCCTCATGGTGCACCCAAAATTTGCCAGTGCAGGCCACTGATCATATGGACCTGTTTCACTAACCATCCTGCGAGATGGGATATATATACTCTGAAAACTCACACCCCAGAAGTGACTCGAACCCATACTGCCAGAAGCACTCTGCATCTGGCGTACAGGACACCTTAACACGTCCTGTTTCATCACTGTAACCATCTACACTACACTATCTTCATCACTGTAACGTGGAAGTGGTGGCAGCGTGACATACAAATTATATGTAACGCTTTATCAACTTATAGTTCCAAAATAATTGGCCACGCCTAGCTCTCCACTTCCATGGGGGATAGTAGGGCAATCCCCGTGGATAGCTTGGACTACCCAGCTCCATGGTTCAGAACCAGTCCGTCCTCCTAAGGTTCCCCCTAACGTCAAGAAAACGGTCAGTGTAAAATGCCCTCACCTAACCTGCCAGAGGACCCAAAACAGAAAACGGGCCAGTACGTCACTTTCGTCAGCCGCTTCCATTTTCTAGTACGATCATTTTTGGCCTTAGGTAACGCATACGATCGAAATGCGACGTTCTGTATAAGAAGACAGATTGTATTTTGAATACCAAGCAACAGCCTGGTGGACCAAACTCTCACAAGTCGAGCCTGGTCTAGGGCCGGGCTAGGGGAGTAGAAGAACTCCCAGAACCCCATCAACCAGGTATCCCACACCGTCCTCATAAGGGGTGACTGAAGGCAACTTGGTCGAGTTGCAAATCGACCGGTTGAATGCTTATTGCATTAGTTTAGTTCATTTATTATGCACTCCATATAAATGCTATGAGTGATAATGGACCCTATGCCCATCATGTGAGTGGTAGTGGACCCTATTTCCGTCATGCGGTACTTTCTGGTGGTCCATCACTACATATTGGTACTTTTCGGTGGTCTATCATTACATATTGGTACTTTCTGCTGGTCTATCATTACATATTGGTACTTTCTGGTGGTCCATCACTACATATTGGTACTTTCCGGTGGTCCATCACTACATATTGGTACTTTGTGGTGGTCCATCACTACATATTGGTACTTTCCGGTGGTCCATCACTACATATTGGTACTTTCTGGTGGTCTATCACTACATATTGGTACTTTGTGGTGGTCCATCATTACATATTGGTACTTTCTGGTGGTCCATCATTACATATTGGTACTTTCTGGTGGTCCATCATTACATATTGGTACTTTCTGGTGGTCCATCATTACATATTGGTTCTTTCTGGTGGTCCATCACTACATATTGGTACTTTCTGGTGGTCCATCACTACATATTGGTACTTTCTGGTGGTCCATCACTACATATTGGTACTTTTCGGTGATCTATCATTACATATTGGTTCTTTCTGGTGGTCCATCACTACATATTGGTACTTTTCGGTGATCTATCATTACATATTGGTACTTTGTGGTGGTCTATCATTACATATTGGTACTTTCTGGTGGTCCATCACTACATATTGGTACTTTCCGGTGGTCCATCACTACATATTGGTACTTTGTGGTGGTCCATCACTACATATTGGTACTTTCCGGTGGTCCATCACTACATATTGGTACTTTGTGGTGGTCTATCAATACATATTGGTACTTTCTGGTGGTCCATCACTACATATTGGTACTTTCTGGTGGTCCATCACTACATATTGGTACTTTCTGGTGGTCCATCACTACATATTGGTACTTTCTGGTGGTCCATCACTACATATTGGTACTTTCTGGTGGTCCATCACTACATATTGGTAGTTTCTGGTGGTCCATCACTTCATATTGGTACTTTCTGGAGGTCCATCACTACATATGGGTACTTTCTGGTGGAAATTGATCTCCAAGCGTTGTAAATTGACCTCCAGGCGTTGGAAATTGACCTCCATGTCCTTGTCCTACAAGTCTGTTCTCTTTAGTATCTTGTATGTTGTGATCATGTCCCCCCCCTCGCTTTTTCTCATCTACATGCTTAATACTCTTCCCGGCTTGGTTGATATTTACTTCTCTAGCGTTGCAAGATTTAGTTCCTTTGAACCTTTACGGTTGTACAGGACGCCGGGATTCCACTTTTGTGGTCACGGGTTCGAAGTCCCGATGATCCAAGCGAATGAAAATTTCAGCCTCAGTTCTGGCACTGATGTTGTTTTGTGCTCGCCGAGTTGGGCAGAGTGCATGCCATCGGAGGATGAGGGGGGGAGGGGGGAGCTGGTGGTTGGCAAAGGTAGGTGTAGATGGCGCCTCTCTACACCCATTCCACCACGTGCCTCAGTGCCCGCGCGCACTCACTGCGCCGTGATTTGATACTCAGTAATCATGCACACACACAACACAGCGCTCACACTTAGCGCACACAACACAGCGCTGAAACTCGGGCGTCAGCGCACTGGCAGGCACAACATACTTATACTGTGCTCGCACACTTACTATGTAAATACAATGACCCATTGTCTCCGCGAACGTGTTTGTCTGGTCGTCGTGACCGCTCTAATGCATGTTCCACCCGGTCTGGGGTTGAGGCGTGTCATAGGTCAAGTGCAGAGCGATCCTACGTACCGTTCCACCGCTGGGTACTCACCTGGTTGTGCTTGCGGGGGCTGAGCTTCGGCTCATGGGTCAGTTGGTAACTAGAGGAAGGAGGCCTTCGCAAGCCAGCAGGGAAATTGTTAACACCCAATAAAAGGAAGATTAGCCCCCTTGTCGACGCATGAGACAAGACTGTAATGTACATTAATTTATATTGATAATATTTATGGGGCTTGGGATCGATCTCGTGTCCCAGGACAAGGAAAGTACTAAAAGAAAATGACCACTTCAAGCAAAAAAATGCTTATAAACTCATGACAGGAAATTTTATTTCTAAAATACACACACACACACACACACACACACACACACACACACACACACACACACACACACACACACACACACACACACACACACTGGGAAGACTGGGAAGGCTGGGAAGACGGGACACCACGAGCGTAGCTCTCATCCTGTAACTACACTTAGGTAATTACACACACACACACACACACACACACACACACACACACACACACACACTTGGCGTAAAGAAGAGTTGGTAGCGGCAGGAGCGCCTCCGTGCTCGCCGCCCCCAGACAACAGACAGTCTCCCGCGCAAACTGTAAGTAAACACAAGACGGCACTGAGCCATTACGACAACACATGGAAGTAATGAGGACAAGGATTTAGGATAGGACATTGGTGAAAGAAATGGTGCCCGACCTCCTGGGTGGTCGGGGACTGAACGCCGGCCTGCAAGAAGCGAGACCGTCGCTATACCGTCCAGCCCAAGTGCCTGGACCCGCGCAAACTGTAGTGGTCTATTTTGGCGGGAAAGTTGGGTTGAGGCGGGCGGGAGGTGACTGCTGGAGGAGTCGCGCTGGTTTGTACTGGAAATTAAAATAGGATTACTATGGAGAGGCAGCTTGATGAATGTCGCCGCCGGTCATTAAAACTGGATTTGCTGGTGGCAGGTTGTAAATTCAGTCTCGTTTGCCCTCCACTCTGTTCACGGCTGGATTATTCTCGTGTGGTCGTGGCTGTCCTTCCTGATTGTCCTGGAAATTGCAGAGACTATCCGCGTCCTCGAATTTCCCGTCCTGAGTTAAAAATTAGTGTGGATTTTTATCTGAGGTTCACACATGACAGATACGATGGACGTATGCTGTATAAAACTCAGGGTTTGCGCTAGCCGTATAGAGCGTACTTCAAACTAAGGAAACAGGCATTGATTTGTATTTAATAACACGATTTGCATCCAGCCTGACGGAATACGTGACTATTTCTCATTCCCGAGAACGGGAAGTATCCCCCCAGCTTACGAGCAAGCTTACGAGCAAGTTTACGAGCAAGCTTACGAGCAAGAGCGAGCGCACTCACGCAAGCAGGGTTAAATAGCCAAGTGAGCACAATGTGTTTGTAATGTGTTATACAGTAATCACATAATTGTTATTGATGTAGTTATTTTTCGGTTCTCTGGTTCTGCCTCTTAATTTTCAGTCAACTGGTGTGAAGGTTCGAGAGCATATTGGGCACTCTCACATCTACATTATAGATGTGACACTATGACACTGGACAATCAGTTCACTATGGCACTGAACAATCAGTTCACTAAGACACTGAACAGTCAGTTAACTATGGCACTAAACAGTCAGTTCACTAGGACACTGGACAATCAGTTCACTAAGACACTGAACAATCAGTTCACTAGAACACTGAACAATCACTTCACTATGACACTGAACAATCAGTTCACTATGACACTGGACAATCAGTTCACTATGACACTGAACAATCAGTTCACTATGACACTGAACAATCAGTTCACTATGGCACTGAACAATCAGTTCACTATGACACTGAACAATCAGTTCACTATGACACTGAACAATCAGTTCACTATGACACTGGACAATCAGTTCACTATGACACTGAACAATCAGTTCACTAGGACACTGAACAATCAGTTCACTATGACACTGAACAATCAGTTCACTATGACACTGAACAATCAGTTCACTAAGACACTGAAGAATCAGTTCACTATGACACTGAACAATCAGTTCACTAGAACACTGAACAATCAGTTCACTAAGACACTGAACAATCAGTTCACTAGGACGCTGAACAGTCAGTTCACTAGGACGCTGAACAGTCAGTTCACTAGAACACTGAACAATCAGTTCACTATGACACTGGACAATCAGTTCACTAGGGCACTGAACAATCAGTTCATTAAGACATTGAACAATCAGTTCGCTAGGGCACTGAACAATCAGTTCACTATAACACTGAAGAATCAGTTCACTAAGACACTGAAGAATCAGTTCACTATGACACTGAACAATCAGTTCACTAGAACACTGAACAATCAGTTCACTAAGACACTGAACAATCAGTTCACTAGGACGCTGAACAGTCAGTTCACTAGAACACTGAACAATCAGTTCACTATGACACTGGACAATCAGTTCACTAGGGCACTGAACAATCAGTTCATTAAGACCTTGAACAATCAGTTCGCTAGGGCACTGAACAATCAGTTCACTATAACACTGAACAATCAGTTCACTTTGACACTGGACAATCAGTTCACTGTGACACTGGACAATCAGTTCACTGTGACACTGGACAATCAGTTCACTATAACACTGAATGAACTCTATCTAATGCCTTTTTGGCTCATTTAGGTACTCGTGTTTCCACCAAAGTCCCCATTGTTCGTGTATCATACAAGCCAAATAGTCTACCCATCAGAACTGACTATCCGTTCCCCCTCTGAGAATCTTGTGCGTCGTGTTCTCCATAGGATCCTGGTGTCCTCCATAGGATCCTGGTGTCCTCCAGAGGATCCTGGTGTGCTCCAGAGGATCCTGGTGTGCTCCAGAGGATCCTGGTGTCCTCCAGAGGATCCTGGTGTCCTCCAGAGGATCCTGGTGTGCTCCAGAGGATCCTGGTGTGCTCCAGAGGATCCTGGTGTCCTCCAGAGGATCCTGGTGTCCTCCAGAGGATCCTGGTGTCCTCCATAGGATCCTGGTGTCCTCCAGAGGATCCTGGTGTGCTCCAGAGGATCCTGGTGTCCTCCAGAGGATCCTGGTGTCCTCCATAGGATCCTGGTGTCCTCCAGAGGATCCTGGTGTCCTCCAGAGGATCCTGGTGTCCTCCATAGGATCCTGGTGTCCTCCAGAGGATCCTGGTGTCCTCCAGAGGATCCTGGTGTCCTCCAGAGGATCCTGGTGTCCTCCAGAGGCTCCTGGTGTCCTCCAGAGGATCCTGGTGTCCTCCATAGGCTCCTGATGTCCTCCAGAGGATCCTGGTGTCCTCCATAGGCTCCTGATGTCCTCCAGAGGATCCTGGTGTCCTCCTGGCGTGCTCCGGAGGGCCCATATTTGACGTCCTGAAGGTCTCGCTGCTCATTTCTCCGGGGCAATGGTGTTAGGCTTCTCGATGCTTTTAATGCTGAACGTCCCGAAAGTCACTGGAATATCGTGTCGTCGTCGTCTTTCACATGTAGCGTCCCGTCGTCCCCGGCAGCTGAACATTCCCTGGCTGCGTTACGTTATCTGGGGCTCGCCCTTCCCCTTCATCAATTATTCTAGAGTCCATCAGCGTGGCTCCCGTCTTAAGAATCGATCCGATATTCAATTCACCATTTTACATATCCTTCCACCGACCTGTTTTCAGAGTGACCTTTAGCCGCGCGGGGGACTACACAACACCATGAAACTTTGATAAAGGTCATTGTATTATCATCATCTTGGTGTTGGCCTGACGTTCTTTGGTTTAACTGGGGATGAATTCACCATGCCCTGGGCTGGGGGTTGTTATTAGCAGCGAAATTTGTTATGGAACGTTTGGTAATTTTGTAGGCGATGAGTCACAATAACGTGGCTGAAGTATGTTGACCAGACCACACACTAGAAGGTGAAGGGACGACGACGTTTCGGTCCGTCCTGGACCATTCTCAAGTCGATTGTGGACCATTCTCACAATCGACTTGAGAATGGTCCAGGACGGACCGAAACGTCGTCGTCCCTTCACCTTCTAGTGTGTGATCTGGTCAACGTAATTTTGTATTGATAGATGTGTGTTCCCTCTCACAGGCACCTGGGCCGGAACCCGTTCGTGTGCGACTGTAACATCCAGTGGCTGTCAGACTACCTGGAGGTGCACCCCATCGAGACGTCGGGCGCCCGCTGCGAGAACCCGCGCTGGCTCCAGCGGAGGAAGCTCAACGCTCTCAGTGACGAGCGTCTCAAGTGTACGCCATATTACCTTTCCTGCCTTCCTTCCTGCCTGCCCAACCACTTGGGCTGGACGGTAGAGCGACGGTCTCGCTTCATGCAGGTCGGCGTTCAATCCCCGACCGTTCAAGTGGTCCCTTTCCCCCTCCGTCCAATCCCAAATCCTTATCCTGACCCCTTCCAAGGGCTATATAGTCGTAAGGGCTTGGCGCTGTCTCCTGATAGAGCCAAGATGTATCAAAGGAGATCCTTTCATTGTCTCCTTTGATACAATTTAGTTAATACTTAGGGATGGTGTATATATAATATAATAATATGATGTAAATGTATGTATATGTAGAGGCAGGTGTATGTGGAAAATTATAAAACCATTTTCAGGTCCTGGACCCCCAACAAATTAAAATGTATAGAAAAAATGTTTATTGGGCCAATTGGTAACCAATAATAAGATAGGAATCGATACTTAGAAGGGACGTATATAAGCAGTTATAGAAAATAATTTAAACATTTTGAATTCCAGGACAAAAAAATATATAAAAAGTATCCCGTTATGATATTTAGTATAGATGGACTTATTCGTGACTCACTATTGGGAATCCCGGGATCGAATCCCGGCAGAGTCGGAAATGGTTGGACAAGTTTCCTTACACCTAATGGCTCTGTTCACCTAGTAGTAGTAAATAGGTGTCCGGGAGTTAGGCAACTATTGTGGGGTTGCATCCTGGGGAGGGGGGTCAGTAGTTCCCACCTTGGGGGGAGGAGAGGGCGGGGGAACTCAGTATAAGCCTAACTCATATACATACATACATATACATAGGCTGCCTGTCCCTAGCAAAACTAATTATTTTAAATAGGAGTGTAATTGCTAACCCATTAATCTTGGGGGTGTAGGTTCTGGTGTCCTCCCGAAACCACTGTTTTCCCCTGAGAAAATTCCTGGGTAAATATTGGTTTGGGATTGCTGGATTGTTTCAAGCGTAGGTTAGACATATATTTAGAGTTATTTTGGTTGGAGATAAATTGCAACTGTCTCGCATGGACCAATAGGCCTTCTGGCTAGTCTTTCCCACCAACATATTTATCCCCCTTAACAACCCATTGCATCTGCAGACGATGAGTCACAATATGATATGATGATATGATGACCAAACCACAACTCCAGAAGATGAAGAGACGACGACGATGATAATGGTCCGGCCTGGACCGTTATCACCGTTTCTGGTCCAGGACGGACCAGAAACATCGTCGTTTCTTCCATCTTCTGGTGTGTATGTGTGTGTGTGGTTTGGTCACCCCCCAAGTGTATCTTCCTGTATGTGTGTGTGTGGTTTGGTCACCCCCCAAGTGTATCTTCCTGTATGTGTGTGTGTGGTTTGGTCACCCCCCAAGTGTATCTTCCTGTATGTGTGTGTGTGGCTTGGTCACCCCCCAAGTGTATCTTCCTGTATGTGTGTGTGGTTTGGTCACCCCCCAAGTGTATCTTCCTGTATGTGTGTGTGTGGTTTGGTCACCCCCCAAGTGTATCTTCCTGTATGTGTGTGTGTGGTTTGGTCACCCCCCAAGTGTATCTTCCTGTATGTGTGTGTGTGGTTTGGTCACCCCCCAAGTGTATCTTCCTGTATGTGTGTGTGTGGTTTGGTCACCCCCTAAGTGTATCTTCCTGTATGTGTGTGTGTGGTTTGGTCACCCCCCAAGTGCATCTTCCTGTATGTGTGTGTGTGGTTTGGTCACCCCCCAAGTGTATCTTCCTGTATGTGTGTGTGTGGTTTGGTCACCCCCCAAGTGTATCTTCCTGTATGTGTGTGTGTGGTTTGGTCACCCCCCCAAGTGTATCTTCCTGTATGTGTGTGTGTGGTTTGGTCACCCCCCAAGTGTATATTCCTGTATGTGTGTGTGTGGTTTGGTCACCCCCCAAGTGTATCTTCCTGTATGTGTGTGTGTGGTTTGGTCACCCCCCAAGTGGATCTTCCTGTATGTGTGTGTGTGGTTTGGTCACCCCCAAGTGTATCTTCCTGTATGTCTGTGTGTGGTTTGGTCACCCCCCAAGTGTATCTTCCTGTATGTGTGTGTGTGGTTTGGTCACCCCCCAAGTGTATCTTCCTGTATGTGTGTGTGTGGTTTGGTCACCCCCCAAGTGTATCTTCCTGTATGTGTGTGTGTGGTTTGGTCACCCCCCAAGTGTATCTTCCTGTATGTGTGTGTGTGGTTTGGTCACCCCCCAAGTGTATCTTCCTGTATGTGTGTGTGTGGTTTGGTCACCCCCCAAGTGTATCTTCCTGTATGTGTGTGTGTGGTTTGGTCACCCCCCAAGTGTATCTTCCTGTATGTCTGTGTGTGGTTTGGTCACCCCCCAAGTGTATCTTCCTGTATGTGTGTGTGTGGTTTGGTCACCCCCCAAGTGTATCTTCCTGTATGTGTGTGTGTGGTTTGGTCACCCCCCAAGTGTATCTTCCTGTATGTGTGTGTGTGGTTTGGTCACCCCCAAGTGTATCTTCCTGTATGTGTGTGTGTGGTTTGGTCACCCCCCAAGTGTATTTTCCTGTATGTGTGTGTGTGGTTTGGTCACCCCCCAAGTGTATCTTCCTGTATGTGTGTGTGTGGTTTGGTCATCCCCCAAGTGTATCTTCCTGTATGTGTGTGTGTGGTTTGGTCACCCCCCAAGTGTATCTTCCTGTATGTGTGTGTGTGGTTTGGTCACCCCCCAAGTGTATCTTCCTGTATGTGTGTGTGTGGTTTGGTCACCCCCCAAGTGTATCTTCCTGTATGTGTGTGTGTGGTTTGGTCACCCCCCAAGTGTATCTTCCTGTATGTGTGTGTGTGGTTTGGTCACCCCCCAAGTGTATCTTCCTGTATGTGTGTGTGTGGTTTGGTCACCCCCCAAGTGTATCTTCCTGTATGTGTGTGTGTGGTTTGGTCACCCCCCAAGTGTATCTTCCTGTATGTGTGTGTGTGGTTTGGTCACCCCCCAAGTGTATCTTCCTGTATGTGTGTGTATGGTTTGGTCACCCCCCAAGTGTATCTTCCTGTATGTGTGTGTGTGGTTTGGTCACCCCCCAAGTGTATCTTCCTGTATGTGAATAAATAAATAAATGCACACTGCACACAGGCACGGATGGGACGGTATCGCTGTACGCCGGGGAGTGCGTGACGGCGGAGGAGTGCCCCAGGGGCTGCACCTGCAGGGGCACCACCGTCGACTGCACCGCCGGGGGCCTCATCCACCTCCCGGACACCCTGCCACCGTACACCACCGACCTGTGAGCGCTCTCCTCCTTCTCTTGCTTCACTTTTATCGTATTCTTGTGCCTCTTAAGTCAGCAGGCTTGTGATTTGTTTTTGCTTTAGTCTCATATTAAATGCTGGTAAGTATATTGAGTGTTTAATATGGTTCAAACTTTAATTTTATAGCCTTTATGGAGCAAATATCGGAACCGACCTTGTGTATATAGTTGTCCCGGCTTGACGCCCTCTTGTGATAATTGCTTGCATAATAATCAAAGTTTAAATGCACGGACTCCTGTTTTTTGTAATAGGATTCTACGAGGCAGTGCAAGAAGTGTCAGTAATACACTTTTGGCTCACACCCGCTTGGTTCTGGGTTCGAGTCCCGTGGGGGATGAGAGGCTTGATCACATTTTCTCCTCACATGTTGCCTCTGGTTACATAACAGGCAAATGGAAGATATTGACCACACGACACACTAGAAAGTGAAGAGACGACGACGTTTCGGTCCGTTCTGGACCATTATCAAGTCGATTGTTGACCATTATCCACAATCGACTTGAGAATGGTCCAGGACGGACCGAAACGTCGTCGTCTCTTCACTTTCTAGTGTGTGGGTTGGTCAACATTTTTCAGCCACGTTATTGTGACTCCTCGTCTGCAAATAGAAGATAGGCCACTGTTGTGGGGAGCCACTGTTGTGGGGGGCCACTGTTGTGGGGGGCCACTGTTGTGGGGGGCCACTGTTGTGGGGGGCCACTGTTGTGGGGGCCACTGTTGTGGGGGGCGCATCCCGGGGAGGGTCGGTCATAGTTCTACGGAGACAAGAATAAAGTTAACATGGCTTCTGTCCCTAACATTGGAAAACCATTTTTATCACAATATACATATATTGTGTATATATATCACAGTAACGTGATATATCACGTTACTGTGATTTCTCTGTGCATTTTTTAGACCCTATTGATATTATGATTGATGGTGTTGAACACCGTACAATGGAATGAACATAAATACTCTAGAAAGCTTTCGTAGTAGGATTTAGGGTAGGTACACACCACTCTCACTATCAGTGCTGTTCTTCACTGACTTCACTTTCCACTAATGCAATTTATCCTCCTTGAATACACTATATACCCGCCAAACACACACCGAAACTACGACGTTGGTACAACGTTCGAACAAGTTTTAACACCTCCTAACCAGTTATAACAACCAATATAGCAAGTTGTAACAACGTTCTAATACGTCATAAACACGTTAAGCCAAGATGTAACAACGTTCTAATACGTCATAAACACGTTAAGCCAAGATGTAACAACGTTCTAATACGTCATAAACACGTTAAGCCAAGATGTAACAACTTTATTACAAGTTGTAACAAGCGGAAAAAATAGAGACAGTTTCGGTTTGTGTTTCCAGGGATATACGTCTCTGTTATATGCAATATATAATTGAAGCCTGAAGTGTTTATTTTTTTTCCATTTGCCCGCACATTCAGGCTGCTCTCTGATAACGAGATCCGTGAAGTGGGTGTTGCTGGTGTCCTCCGTCAGCTTTCCCGGCTACGGCGCCTTGTGCTCTCCAACAATCATCTGCGACACATCACGCGCGGCTCCTTCCAGGGCGTCCAGTCCCTCCATGAACTGTAAGTAATTGGCTTTGTGTCATCACGCACAGAGATCACACTAACGTGATGCATCAAATGAACAAATCCACAAGGGCCGTGACGAGGATTCGAACCTGCGTCCGGGGGCATCCCAGACACTGCCTTAAGTCGATTAAGGCAGTGTCTGGGATGCTCCCGGACGCAGGTTCGAATCCTCGTCACGGCCCTTGTGGATTTGTTCCTTTGTGTCATCTATGAACCCAACCACTTGGGCTGGATGGTACAGCGACGGTCTCGCTTCATGCAGGTCGGTGTTCAATCCCTGACCGTCCTAGTGGTTGGGCACCATTTCGCTCGTTCCATCCCGAATTTTTATCCTGATTCCTTCCAAATGCTATATAGTCGGGGTGGCTTGGCGATTTCTTCTGAGAATTTCCTTCCCTTGTCATCTTTGAAATTAACTGTGATGGGTTGTGGTATCGCAGCTATGCTGAACCAAGATGGTGTGGCTCTCCCTCACATAAATAATAAAAAAAAAGTTGCTATTGGCCTTGAAGTGTGTAAGTCGCAGATGGAAACAAATGAAAATCACCAAATAAATAATTAAAACAATTTACTGAAATATTAATGAACAAAAATGACACCTGAAAATACTTGGCTATCATGTAATGCGAAGGTGAACAAGATAATATGACATTAATACAAAAATGAACTGTGGGCAATGAATATAAAGCATAAAGATATACCGGTGTACTGAAGACAGCTACCATACCACCACGGCTATCCAGGCTGATATGGATATATTTGACTTTGGCATCAGTCAGTGTGAATGGAGTTCTAAGCCTACTGGGGACCACGAGCTAGAACCTGGCTCCCTCAGAGAGGCACGAGGAGCAATGGCCTATAGAAACCCCAATGTTGTTTGGAAGCATTCTATGTCTGCCATCGCCCGGGTCAGGCACTCAGAAAGGTAAACGCCCCAAAACAAACCCCTATTCTGGTTAAGAAATTGGTACTGAAAGCCAAACTAGTGGACAGAACTCCCCAAACGAAAACGAGCAAACGGAGGGGAAAGGTGATGCCGAAGACCCCTCACACCGGCTATCCACACCCCAGTTCTTAGGGTGATGTGAAAGGCTGAGGTCGTGTTACTCTGGCTCCTGCTTTCCTGCTTGGATCCATAAATCCAACATTATGCTTGTAAATCACGTATAAAATATATATAAAATGTATACTTTTCCTGAATAAAAAAAATTAAATTTGAATTTTGAATTTGAATTCTTGGCTTTCAGCTCTGTGCCTTGTGGCATGGGACTGTTTCTTCTGGTGGTGCGTGAGCCAAGAGTAATTTCACAAGTACTCAGGCTGCATGCATTTAAGGTCACCTTCCCTAAGTGCCCTATAAGTACTGTTCTTGGGGCTTGGGATCACCTTCCACAAATCACCTTGGGTTCTACCTCTGCTTGGTCTTTTGCTGCTCGGTGATCAACCGCTCTGAGTGTACTGGGGTGTTTCATACGCCCTTGTTTGCCTTGGGGTAAGGAGTAGTTTGCACTGGTGGGGCGCAGGGTACTGCACAGCTAGTTTTCACCATTATAGTGGCCGACTCTGTTCTGCCTGGGTACGTTGTCCTCTTGCGGGGTTTTTCTTTTGTTTTGTTTCCCTGCCTGGCCCCGTGAGTGGAAACGTTCCGAGGGTTCAGCTTTTAGTACGTTTGGTTGGTAGATACTTGGGCGCGGGTTTGCAGTACTCTACCTGGGCTTCCCTTAGTGTGTTTCCCGTCTAAGGGCCCTGGGAAACCCTGCAGGGGCACCTTGATCCAATGGCTGAGACCTCCGAGTCCTCTCTCGTCTTGTGCGAGTTTGAAGGTAGCTCTGTCCTCTTGTCTCTGGGTGACAATAACCGGTCCTGCCTCCATCATGCTGCCTGCTGGTTTGGTGACACTTTCGACCCAGAGTCCTGTGAGCTTTGTTGCTTGTTTGTGACTTAATACACCCAGTCCACTGATGACTCTCTTCGGGTGCAGGCAGCTCAGGCGTTGCATGCTACGTTGGTTGCTGACCCGGAAGCCCTGAGGCTGCTCCATTTTGGTTATAGGGACCCGGAGTTAGGGATGTTGGTCGCTTCGATCTTGGTTCACTCCATGCCCCCTCGTTCTTCCCCTGCTGTGGTTCGTTCTAGACTAACCCCCTCTCCGACCTCCCGCTTCCGGCTCCAAAGAGGTGCAGCTTCATGTGCAGGTTTCCTCCCTATCGGCTGCGTTGGTTGCTGAGGACTTATTTGCAAGTGGCCAGTTGGCTTCGGTCTTGCGGTCCTTTTCCCTAGTGAGCTGTCCTCAGTTTGGCTTACAGAGGATGTGGAGGCACTTGAGGCTGTTCCTGGGTCCGGTGCCTTGGTCTCGGCGGCGGGTGCGTCGTCTGCCCTGCTGAAGCTGTTCGCACCGATCCTGCGGGATACAGTGTTTCTGTTTTATGCTTCCCATCTTGAGTGTCGGTAGGTGGTACTTGCTACCTCCATGGAATCTGCCTGGGCCCTGGCTCGTAGGTTTCATCGCCTTTTTGTTCTTTGCTGTTTGCAGAGTCTGTGATTGGGCAGTATCTGCAGTCAGCTTCAGAGGATGTGGAGCTCGTTCTGCTAGATGTTGTCTGATGTCTGATTTGTTGGTTCTCCGGGGAGCTCGTGGAGATTCCTCCTGAAGGGGTCGTGCAAGGGCTCGGAGTTTCTTCCTTTGGGTTAGGCAGGTAGTGCCAAATTCGGAGCCAGCGCCACCTTTGGTTCCGCCGTCATCTGGTCAGCACAGTGTTTGCTCTGCTCGTTGATCGGGTTCTCGGCAGGGGCATCGACCTTTTCGCGGTTTGCTCCATTAATGGGGCAATGGGGGGGGGGGGAGGCTTGCGCTGTTTACTCACGCCTGGTCTTGCAATTTGTGGGCTTTTCGGATCGTTTCCGTTGGCCTGCGGTGGCATTAAGTGAAGCCTCAAATCCCCCCCTTTTGGGGGGTTCGGGGCTGGCAGGGGCAGGCCTCCTCTTCTGCGCTTTGTCGGGTCATCTTAGAGTGGGTGCATTTGGACGTGATTAAAAAGACAACGTCCCTCAGATGGGTTTCCCGTCTTTTTCCAATCCCGAAACGGGACTGTGCGGACCTGAGGTTCATTCTGGACTTGTCCTGTCTGAATCCCTGGGTCTATTGACCCTCCTTTCGGATGACTACTGTTTCAGGTCAGCTTCTTTTGGAGCCATGCACTTGGACGGTATCCCTGGACCTCCAGGACGCTTATTGGCACGTCCCAATTCATCCGGGGTTCAGGGACTGGTTCGATTTTGTTATGGGGCGTCAGGTTTACCGCTTTTGTTGCCTTATATTCTGCTTGAACCTTGCACCTCGTGTGTTTACACATCTTATCAGGGTCGTGGTGGCCCTTCTGCATCTTTTAAGGGCTCCAGTCCTGGCCTACCTCGATGTCTGGTTGGTGTGGGCTCCCAGCCAGTCTGTGTGTCTGCTTTCCAGGGGTTTGGTTCTTTCCCAGCTCGCATAGTTTGGGTTCCTGGTGAACTGGCGGAAGTCCCATCTGGTTCCCTCTCAGGTTCGGTCTTGGCTGGGTCTTGTGTGGGAATCTAGGACTGCCTCCTTGTCTCTCCCTCTGGTTTCTCTGCTTTGGCTGCAGTCTCGCCTTCGCTTGCTTCTGAGGGGCTCCCGGGACACCCGGCAGATGCTCAAGGGTTTGTGCGGAAGCCTGAACTTTGCTGTGATGGTCTACTTGCCGGGTCAATTTTGGCTTCATAGGCTGTTCTTGTTCCTTTGGGGACATCCCTACCGCCTCTCTCACGATTGGTGGGTTCGGCCTCCGGGGGCTTTACATCAGTCGTTGTGCCGCTGGCTTCTTCTTTGGGGTTCAGTGCCTTGGCGCCTACCCGAACCCTCGCTCGATGTGTTCACAGACATGTCGTCTCTTGACTGGAGCTTTGTGATCAGTGCTCTATGGCTGGCCAGGGGCGGTGGGGTCCATCTGCAACGTCCTTCTGTTGAGCCCACAGCACGGTGCAGAAATTTGCGGCAGTGTGGATGTCGCTCCGAAGGGTTTGGGTCACTCGCGGATCGATGATCAAGCTCCATTCGGACTGCTTCCCTGTGGTTCATTGCCTGAACCAAGGGGGGGTTCGATGTGCTCCTTGGCTCTTTGGGACTAGTCACTTCGGGTGACTCGTCTGCTGAATTCTCCGGGTTTGGCTCTCCTGGCAGTTAACGTTCGGTGGGTGTCCAATGTCCTGGCAGACGGCCTGTCATGGTTCATTCCCCTATCCACGGAATGGACGGTTGATGCCGACTCACAGTTGGCTCTGCTGGACGTACCGTCCCCCGGATATGGACATCACTGCGTTGGCGTAATTGAGGCCTCTCCTGTATTGTGTGGCACTCTTCCCTGACTTCAAGGCCGTTGGGATTGATGCCTTTTGGCAGGACTTGTCAAAGTGGGTTTTACCTTTACCTCCTTAGAGACTAACCAAAGGAGAGTAGTCCTCATAGCCCCTTGGTGGCCGGCAAAGCCTTGGTTTAATGCACTGCTTGCTTGATGTCCGAACCCTGGGGTCTTCCCGCGACTCCGCCTCTTTCAGGAGATCGGCCTGGTCCACTACATGGCTGGTTTGATCTTCTCCTTGCGTCTTCACGTCTGGTCTTTTTTATTCGAGTCTATCACCATTTGTATGGTGAGCAGGTGGTTTATTTGAAGGTATCTCACCTGCGTGCTTCGTCTCGGCGTCAGTATGAAGTTTCCTGACGGTTCTTCTGGTTTTTCTTGTCCCTTTGTAGGTTTACTTCGGTTTCTGAAGCTGTGGTGTTGTCCTTTCTTTCATGGTTGTTTCAGGACCATCATCTTATGCTTAATACTGTCACTTCTTATCGTGTGGCAGGCGGAGCCGCTGCAGCTTGTGTTCGGGGTTGATTCTACATTGGCATTGTTCTGCAAGCATTCTCGTGCTTTGTTTCACCTCTGGCCTGCTCATGCGCCACCTAAGCCGTCTTGGTGTTTGGATCCGTGCTATCCTTTCTTCTCCTCGGTTTGTAGTGGAAACAATCCTTCGGTTCAGGATTGTATCTCTAAGGCTCTTTTCCTGTTGGCATTAGCCTCTGGGGGTCAGGTCGGGGAGCTTCATGCTCTCCTCCAGCACAGAGGTTTCTGCTCGTTTGATCCTGGTGGTAGGTTTGTTTGGTTACAGCCATCTCCTTTTCTGACGAAGAATGAGACTGCTGCTTTCCGGAGGGGTCCTTGGATTGTTGATACTTGGTTGGTTAGGCCGGGGGTGCATCGTGTGTTGTGTCCATTTGCGGCTCTCCGCCATTATCTTCATGCCATGGCTTCTGTGTCTGGGGGATGCGCTTTGGGTTGATCCGGTTTCCCTTCTTCCCTGTTCCAGAGTTTGGGTCTCCCAGATCATCCGCAGGGTTATCTGGTCCACCCAGCCTGCAGTCTATCCCTGTACCCACGACGTTCGTAAGTTTGCTTCACTTGCTGCCGTCTTTGGTAACATGCTGACATTCAGGCACAGGGTTTTTGGTGGTCTAACAGGGTCCTGCCTGCATGCTACTTGGTCAATGTTCCTGGACCTAGTCATTCCTGTGTCGCTTTGGGTCTGCGGTTGCAGCCAGTTGTTTCGACTTCGGGTTGAGGAGTGAGTGCCGACCGCCTCCTGTAAGTCCCTTTTGCTTTTGTCTTTGGGTAAATAGCTCCTAGGAGCCACAGGGACTCCCCCCCTCCCCCCATCCCCCAGAAAACCAGCATTGAATATAACGAAACGCTATTTTCTGGGTGAGACCTGGAGACTCCAAGGCATCCCTCTCTCCCTCCCCTCCGGTCAGCATTTTTTTGGCGTGTTTTTGACATCCATCCTCAGAACTGGAGTGTGGGTAGCCAATGTGAGGGGTCTGGGGTTCCCCCTTTTCCCCATTCGGGGAGAGGGGAGCTGTGCAGGCAAGCGGTGTGATGACGTAGTGATGTCATGCTCATTTGCTCGTTTTCGTTTGGGGAGTTCTGTCCACAAGTTCGGTTTTCAGCAGCAATTTCTTAACCAGTATGGGAGTTTGTTTTGGGGCGCTTACCTTTCTGAGTGCCTGACCCGGTCAATAGAAGACATAGAATGCTTCCAACCACATGGGAGTTTCTATAAACCATTGCTCCTCATGCCTCTATGAGGGGGCCCTGGTTCTGGCTCGTGGTCCCCAGTAAGCCTAGAACTCCATTCACACAGACTGATGCCAAGGTCTAATATATCCATATCAGCGTGGATAGCTCCAGGGAGCCTCTGGGTATCACCCAGAAAATGGCGCTTCATTACCTTCAACGCTGGTTTTTTGGCTCCATACACATAATTTGTTCAAATCTATTTGTTAATATCCTATATACTAATGAAGTAATAATGAAATCCTAAACATAACTGACTACTTTATTTATATTTATGTTAAGATTATTTTTAAGCATTCATAGTTACATATCTGTAAATGATATACTCATGCTTGTACTCAGTATACAGTATAAACATGTAAATTCTCTCCAGGTAAACTCAGGTAATGATCAAGTTTTCTATATGTTTGTAGCATAATGTTAATGACTTAACTTTATTAATGACATATATATATACAGTACAGTATGTACTGTATATGAGTCCCGGTAGTACAGTCGGGCTCGTTCTCGACTCACAATCGTGAATTTCGGGTTTGAATCCCAGGCAGGACAGAAATGGTTGGGTGCATTTCCTATCACCTATTGCCCCTCTTCACCTAGCAGTAAGTTGGTACCCAGGAGTTAGCCAGCTCGTTGTGGGGTTGCATTCTGGGCGGGGTCAATAATTCGACCTTGGGGGTAGGGACCTTGATATAAGCCTAACGGGTATAAATACATTCTGGCTGCCTTTCCCCCAATACTATAAATTTATTAAACAAATATATAGTTTGGCTTGGCCAATTGTTTGTATATTCTGTATTCATATGGTAAAAAAAAATATTTGTAGAAGCAGTTAAATGTATATGTAGGTTTGTTGCTCCTATCTTGAGGTTATCTTGAGATGATTTCGGGGCTTTTTAGTGTCCCCGCGGCCCGGTCCTCGACCAGGCCTCCACCCCCAGGAAGCAGCCCGTGACAGCTGACTAACACCCAGGTACCTATTTTACTGCTAGGTAACAGGGGCATAGGGTGAAAGAAACTCTGCCCAATGTTTCTCGCCGGCGCCTGGGATCGAACCCAGGACCACAGGATCACAAGTCCAGCGTGCTGTCCGCTCGGCCGACCGGCTCCCCTATGTTGAAGATTAAATATATGCTTTGTTTCAGAGACCTGTCAGACAACGATCTATCAGAGGTCAACAGTCGTATGTTTGATGGACTTCCAGAGCTAAGAGCACTGTAAGTATCACCTTTGGTTGTTCTTGGATAGTGTTGCTTGTGATCATTAACTTGGAAATGAAGTCTTGCTAATTACTTTCTTATTGATCTGTTATACTGTACTGTATATTACAGTATCATAACGCTTAATGGTGGCAATATCTTGTGTTTCAGGTCACTAGCAGACAATAAAGTGACTTGCATCTCACCAGGAGCCTTCAGTCAATTGCCTGCTCTTACAGAGATGTGAGTACTATATATATATATGCAGTTTAAACACCAACTCCACTGGTAAATATTGATATCTTTTGGCATTCAATATTAATACAATATGTTAAATTATTAGTTAATTTAATTACTGTAGCTTAAATAAAAATTGGCTTAATATTTTCTTCTCAAATTTTTGTTTGTTTGAAGCACTACTTAAGTACCTGTTGATGACTATTATTTATTTCTTATATCAGAAATCTGGAGGGCAACCCTCTTCGATGTAATTGTCACATGGGCTGGCTGGCAGAGTGGTTGCGGTCTCAGAGGTCAACCACGGGCGTACCAAAGTGCCAGTCCCCACCACACCTGCGAGATATACTTATCACCGAGGTTCCAAGCTCACAGTTTGCATGTGAAGGTAATAATTGCATTCTTAAACTAGGTTAGATAAAGGTTCCTGTGTACTGACTATAGATGATAAGTATTAAGCAGAGGATCCCAGTACAAATATAAATACTGTATATCATATGCAGGCGATGAGTCACAATAACGTGGCTGAAGTATGTTGACCAGACCACACACTAGAAATTGAAGGGACGACGACGTTTCGGTCCGTCCTGGACCATTCTCAAGTCGATTGTGAATCGACTTGATCATTCATTGTCGATTCATTCAATCGACTTGATCATCGACCATTCACAATCGACTTGAGAATGGTCCAGGACGGACCGAAACGTCGTCGTCCCTTCAATTTCTAGTGTGTGGTCTGGTCAACTGTATATCATATATCATTATACACAAGAAGGCACAATTTGTTGGTGAAAGTACATATATCAGTGATAAGTGGGACCATTCTTGCAAAGCTGCTAATGCACAAACAATCACACACACATAATCACTAGAGAGATAATGGCCCTCAAATAAATTCAGCTAAATTCAAGGGGCATCGTATGTGTCAAGTTATCTATGAAAGGTGTATCAGTTTGTTCTGGGAGTCTTCAGATACAGTACAGTACTGTCAAATGTATCATCGATGGAAGGTGCACATTGGTTGTTGGCTCACTACTATGTAACTTATTGTACAAGTTTATATAAGTTATGATAGTTGTTTTTCAGGCAAGTGAGTCTTTATATGCAATCCAGCATAAATTGTCTTGCCACAAGCCACTGACCAGTATCAAAATACAGTATTTATGAAATTCCATTCTTTCAGGCGATGAACCAGGCTGCTTTGGGGTTGAGGAACGTTGTCCTCCTGAGTGTAGATGTGAGGGCACTGTTGTTCGTTGCTCTCGGGCAAGGCTACGACAGATTCCGAAGGGCATTCCATCTCATGCTACTGAACTGTATGTTTCTCTTGCTTCTCGTACTGCCTATTTGCCTAAAAAGCTATTATGAATCATAGCTGCTTTTGTTTATTGTATTTTTAGCACCTTTTGTCTGTTGTATTAGGGAATCGAACAAGATATGCGAATAAAGTTTACAGTAAAACATGTAAGATGACATATTGTTTAAGTTAAGCCATTCATTTCTGTGAAAACGGTAATAATTACAAGGGATGTTCAGTACCTTTACTTGACATATGGAACATACCATTGGTTTGATAAATTATGTTTTTCTGATATTTTTAATGACTATAATATTTGTATAATGTATATATCTTTACTCATCTTTTCAGATACTTGGATGTGAATGAAATTACCGAGTTGGATGCAGACAGACTTTCACATTTGACAGCCCTAACTAGATTGTAAGTTGAGTCAAGTCTCCGTATACAGTCTCCGTATACAGTATACAGTCTCCGTGGTGTAGTGGTAAGACACTCGCCTGGCGTTCCGCGAGCGCTATGTCATGGGTTCGTATCCTGGCCGGGGAGGATTTACTGGGCGCAATTCCTTAACTGTAGCCTCTGTTTAACTCAACAGTAAAATGTGTACTTGGATGAAAAAACGATTCTTCGCGGCAGGGGATCGTATTCCAGGGACCATAGGATTAAGGACTTGCCCGAAACGCTACGCGTACTAGTGGCTGTACAAGAATGTAACAACTCTTGTATATATCTCAAAAAAAAAAAAAAAAAAAAAAAAAAAAAAAAAAAAAAAAAGTATTTAAATTCTGTACTTTGTAGTTAGCCTTTTAGAGTGACTTCTCTAATTTCTTGTTAAATACATGCTTTAAATCTAATTTGTTTCATCTTAATGAAGTATCATTCCCCATGATTGCCATCAGGTTTATGTGAAGGGCCATCCATATTTACTGCCATGCATTCATCAATATGCATGTGCATACAATATTTACAATGTTATTGTAATATTTAGGGTCCTGGTAGTACAGTCGGCTTCATTCTCGACTCACAGTTGAGAATTCCGGGTTCGAATCCCGGACATGACAGAAATAGTTGGGCACATTCCCTATCACCTAATGCTACTGTTCACCTAGCAGCAAGTGGGTATCCAGGAGTTAGTTAGCTTGTTGTGGGTTTGCATTTTGGGGGGGGGGGACTTGATATAAGCCTAATGTTTAAAACACACTCTGGCTGCCTGTCCCCCGACACAATGAATAATTATTATTTATCATTATTATTATTATTATTATTACTATTATTATTATTATGTGTATAGTTTATTAAAGTTACATCTAATTGTCAGTTATTGCAGTACATTTTAGAAAAAACTCTTGAGATGCCTTTTGCTTTGGTCATTTTTTTTTTAATTCTTGCTTTTGTGTTTTATATTCAACATCTCGAGACCACTTCATTGTATAGACTTGAAACTGACAACATTTGTGTACGATCACACAACTTGGGTTCCTGTAATTAATAAGCAGTAGAGAGCTCAAAGGCAACTATTGTTGTTGTTGCCTTTATTATTTATGTATTTATTTATGCATATACAAGAATGTACATAAGGAATGTGAGGATACAAATATGGTAATTACAGTCTTGTAAAGCCACTAGCACGCGCAGCGTTTCGGGCAGGTCCTTAATCTAAGAAAATTTTAAGGAGGTAAATACTTGCAAAATTTATAGACAAAAAAATGATAACAGATTACATGGAATGAAAAAAAAGAAGATGAGAGAAAATTATAGGTACAGTATATTAATGCACATAGGTAGCTATGATTGATTGCAATGACAGCTTAAAATGGTAGTTGACAACAAATTGGTAGGCACAATACAGCAGAAACAATATAAGATTGATTGCAATGACAGCTTGGATGGTAGTTGACAAAAATTGGTAGTCACAATACAGCATATGGCTAGCACATAAAAGAAGACAGCAATGAACACAATGATAAGGTTGTTTGATATTACATAAAAATTAGGAGATTGGGTAACACTAGGTATATGGTCACTTATATATGGTCAAATGTTGTGTGTATATATGTAGAGCGGGGTAGAAGGTGGGATATGTTTGTTTTTAGGAATATTGATAATATTGTTTGTATTGTGAGACATGTGCCTGAATTTTACCTCTCAGCCACTACGTCTTGTGACTGTAGTTTACCTCTCAGCCACTACTTCCTGTGACTGTAGTTTACCTCTCAGCCACTACTTCCTGTGACTGTAGTTTACCTCTCAGTCACTACTTCTTGTAATTGTAGTTTACCTCTCAGCCACTACTTCCTGTGACTGTAGTTTACCTCTCAGCCACTACTTCATGTGACTGTAGTTTACCTCTCAGCCACTACTTCCTGTGACTGTAGTTTACCTCTCAGCCACTACTGTGACTGTAGTTTACCTCTCAGCCACTACTGTGACTGTAGTTTACCTCTCAGTCACCACTTCCTGTGACTAGTTTACCTCTCAGCCACTACTTCATGTGACTGTAGTTTACCTCTCAGTCACTACTTCTTGTGACTAGTTTACCTCTCAGCCACTACTTCATGTGACTGTAGTTTACCTCTCAGTCACTACTTCTTGTGACTAGTTTACCTCTCAGCCACTACTTCTTGTGGCTAGTTTACCTCTCAGCCACTACTTCTTGTGGCTAGTTTACCTCTCAGCCACTACTTCTTGTGGCTAGTTTACCTCTCAGCCACTACTTCTTGTGACTTGTTTACCTCTCAGCCACTACTGTGACTGTAGTTTACCTCTCAGCCACTACTTCTTGTGGCTAGTTTACCTCTCAGCCACTACTTCATGTGACTGTAGTTTACCTCTCAGTCACTACTTCTTGTGGCTAGTTTACCTCTCAGCCACTACTTCTTGTGACTAGTTTACCTCTCAGCCACTACTGTGACTGTAGTTTACCTCTCAGCCACTACTTCTTGTGACTAGTTTACCTCTCAGCCACTACTTTATGTGACTGTAGTTTACCTCTCAGCCACTACTTCTTGTGGTTAGTTTACCTCTCAACCACTACTTCTTGTGACTAGTTTACCTCTCAGCCACTACTGTGACTAGTTTACCTCTCAGCCACTACTGTGACTGTAGTTTACCTCTCAGCCACTACTTCTTGTGGCTAGTTTACCTCTCAGCCACTACTTCTTGTGGCTAGTTTACCTCTCAGCCACTACTTCTTGTGGCTAGTTTACCTCTCAGCCACTACTTCTTGTGGCTAGTTTACCTCTCAGCCATCACTTCCTGTGACTAGTTTACCTCTCAGCCACTACTTCCTGTGACTACAGTGGAGATAAGAGGCTGCAGATTTATGAAAGCTCCCCCTCAATCCCACATTTCTCCAGACAAGTTTTAAACTGTGGCATTTTCTTGGCTTTTACAGTTTCGGCAAGCAGAGTTTTATAGATTTATTATGCTTAATGTGACAGTATATCTTCTAACTTTTAAGAAAGCAAAGGGTCGTCTTTTAAAGATGCACTGAAATTTATGGTAAAGTAGGAAGTTACATTGATATTGACACCTTGCTAACAGATCTGTATGAACTCTACAAATTATTAAATACTGACAAATACTTTTTTATGTTGAAAAATACAAGACCTTGCATGAGGGGCATAACAATGCACAACTCGACTACCAAATCAGTAACATCTGTTAACAGCGATTTAGGAAGAAAAGGACCTAGGTATCAGAATCCACCAATCACTGAAAGTTGCACAACAAGTGGGAGCTGTAGTAAAAATAAAAAAGCAAGCCAAATTCTAGGAATATTCAAATGAAATTTTGACTTCAAGGAAAAGAAGGTAGTTTTACAGTTGTATAAATTTCAGGAGTGCCCCCACCTGAATTATTGTATCCAAGCATGAAGACCTTATTTTCAGAAAGACATATCTATATTGGAGAAGGTTCAATGACACGCAACTAAAATAACTGCTGAACTACCAGTAAGTTGACTCTCGTACCAGGAACAGTTGAGGGCCACAGGGCTAACACTGAAAACCAGACATGACAGGGCTGACCTCATTGAAACTTTTAAAATAATGAACAATTTGGAGGATATTGTTCCAGACCACTTAATCAAAAGGTAAGATGTAACATGAACAAGGAGCAATGGTTTAAGTTCAACAAGCCACAATGCAGGATGGAAAAAAAGAAATGCCATTTCACCTATGGAGTTATAAAACCCATGAAACCACTTACCTGCCAAAGCTGTAAATACCAAAATGTTGCCATATTTCAAAATCGAGCTGGACAGAATCATCAGGACAAATGAGGAGGACTTTTGACAAGCCGCTGGCTTCCTATCCTCGTCAAGGTCACTTGAAAGAAGTGACCTTCAGGTAAATTGTATATCCATAAAAGAGACTGTCTATTTGCCCCTCTGTCTGTCTGTCCAAGGCTGGAGACCAGATGCTTGGGGCTAATCTCACTCAACTTTCCTAAATGCCACATTAATAGTAGGTGATTCATAAGCAAAATAGTCACCACCACCCCACACCCAAATTCCCCCACCTTAGTTTCAGCTCCTATTGTGACTCCTATTAAGTCTAAAATGAGGTTTTTAATTTACCTGAATTTACCTGAGGGCCACTAATACTCTAGTAACCTTCACGAGGACAGGAAGGTGGCAGCTTGTCAAAGGTCCCCCCTCCCATTTGCCCTGATGATTTTTTCCAGCTTGATTTTAAAATGTAACAGTTTCAGCATTTACGGCTTCTGCAGGTAGGCAGTTCATTGGGTTATAACCTTGTGGATGAAAAAGTTTTCAGTCCTGCATTGTGGCTTGTTGAGCTTGAAATCATTGCTCACTGTCTATGTCACATCTGACCTTAAAGAAATTGTCTGGATCAACATCCTCCAAATTGTTCATTATTTTAAAACTTTGGATGAGATCCACCCTGTCTTGTCTGGTTAGCAGTGTTGTTAGCCCTGAAGCTCTCAACCATTCCTGGTAAGAGAGATGACTTAGTTCTGAAATTATTTTTGTTGCCTGGTGTTGTACTTTCCCGATAGCAACTAAGCCCTTCTGAAGATGAAGTCTCCATGCTTCGATACAATAATCCAAGTGAGGGGAACACTTGAGATTTATACAACTGAATCACTTCTGCCTTTTCCCTTAAAATCAAGGGGTATGTTTGATTATTTCTAGAGTTTGGTTTGCTTTTCTGTGCGGAGCCTCGTCGGCTCCCTGATGCTATCCAAACTGATATAGTGCTTTATTAGTTTGGGGTCATCAGTCACAGAAGTTCTTTGCCTACCGGGGACCACGAGCCAGAACCTGCCCTCCCCCCCCCCCCTCAGAGAGATGCAGGGAGCCAGGTTCTGTATGAGCACTATATGAGCACTTTACATTTTAAGTACTGTATGTCATAATTGCCATCAACCAGGAAAGGACCCAGAAAGGTAGGCTAATCAAAACAGACGACTGTCTGGTTAATCTGTGCAATCTATGTCCTAAAATACCAAAATATTTCCCCTAGAAAGAAACCAAACAAGCAACAGTTCATGCAATTAGCACTCCCGCTTGATATCAATATCCCCCCTCCTCTAAAGGCCTAAAGGGGGGTATCGCTAATGAGCTATATATGGATCACTATAATAGCATAAATGGATCTCTATAAGCTTAACCAGATTGCTACCCCCACCTATGGGAACCAATATGTCTTTTACCTGAGGTCCACTATATTTCTAGTGGCCTCGTCAAGGAAAGGAAGCCGGTGGCTTGTCAAAGGATCCCATTTATCCTAATGATTTTGTTGAGCTGAATTTTGAAATTGAACAGTGTCTAAGACTTTAATAAATAAATAAATAAATAAATAAATAAATAAATAGTTTATTTAAGTAAAAGTACTGTACATACATACATACATACATACATACATACATACATACATACATACATACATACATACATACATACATACATACATACATACATACATATTGACTTTCAAGCACAATGTTGGATTTCTAGATAGGGCTAGTATATACTGTACTATGTTTAAAGCCACTAATACATACAGCGTTTTGAGTAAGATGTGGGAAACCTAAAAACTGAGACCTCAGACTAATCAAGATCAAAAGCATGAATTGAAGAAAAAATGACAATAATTATATGTTGAATTAATAGCATCAATTGCAACAGAGGAGCAAATAGTAATTTTGAATAAATAAACAGAGCAGACTACAATTTTCTTAAGTTTACATGGCTGATATTAGCAGTTTTACAAGTTAGTCATTAATCATTTATCACTAATGTTTGATAATAACAAGACATAGGTTGGCATTTAGGAGGTAAAGTAGGTTACATGGAGTTGATTAGGTATAAAATAAAATAAATAAATAAATGTTTATTTAGGTAAGGTACATACATACATACAAGGAATTTTTACAAAGATTGGTTGACTTAAAGGTAGAGCTAGTACATACAATGCCTAAAGCCACTATTATTGGCTTTAGGCATTAGAGATAGTACTGTACTTACTTTTTCTCTTAAACTGGTTGAGAGATGGGGCAGTCTTTGACGTGATTGGAGAGGTCATTCCACATAATGTCCTGGGGTGACTGCAACAGGAGTGAAGTACAGTACTGTAGTTGCTATTTGCCCTTGTTGAGAAATACAGTAATATGAAAATAATAAGGATTGCCCTCAAGAAAAGACATTACAAGCGAAAAAGTATAAAGGAATAAACATGAAACTGTACCAAGGAGCAATGAAGGGGGTAACAAGTTTGAGAAAGGCAGCCGGGGTGTTGCCAAATAGCACAACAGTGGGTCAAACATAAACAAGGATAAATAATACTTATCACTCAAAACATTACACAGGACAGTACTTAAAAGTATTACGTAACAAAAATATGCATTAATTGTTGCAAGAACTGATGTAGTTTGTCATAATAGCTTTTTAAACCTACACTCTGTTGCTTGACAGAGACTTGAGCAACAACCAGATCGCTGTACTACAAAATAACACATTTGCCAGCCTTCATCAGCTCTCCACACTGTGAGTATATGCACATCACAATTTTTCTGACTTGCCACTTGATTTTTTTTTAGACTCGTAAGTGTATGGTGGCTTAAGTTTGCTGTATGATGAATTAATATTTTCTTCCATGGGTAAATTCTAATGTAAGTGAATCATTCATGCTTAAATACAGTTCTTTTCATACTGTGCAATTTGGAATTAATTTCTCTCATTTTCCACAGCATTGTAAGCTACAACAAACTACAGTGCATGCAAAGGGACTCGTTGGCAGGGTTGCGGAAACTTCGCATATTGTAAGTACCATATTTTTCTTATAACCTGTAAGCATACATGCATGTACTGAATATTTATGTATATGTATGTTACTGTTCTAATGACTTATTGCAGAGAATTTAATTAAACCCATGCTTGTGAAGGATTCCTCGTCCAGTGGAACCTCGGTGCTCGGACTTAATTCTTTCCAGAAGGTCGTTTGAGTGCCGATCACAGACCACAAAACATGCACACATGAACACAATAAATAAATTAAATAAATGCAAATATATTCTCACTTTACCCTACACTTAGGATAGTTGATGGCATATGTCGAAGGTGGTGAGGAATAGGAGAGATGTTATTGTTTGGCAGGGGAGTACCCTTCCCATTGCCATGATTAGCTTTGAACACTTTACTATCAGCACTCGTTCCCGTTTTTTTTTTTTTTTTAAGATCACCATGCAGTTGTTTTGCTTTTTCATAAACAGGCACGTGGACACCACTTTAATATTTTGCTAAGTTATTTTTTCATCTCTTGTGGTTCTAGCAAATTCTCTTCTTGTTTTGCTATTTTCACTAACATTATTATGTATTTATGTGCATTTGCACTAACTCAGTTTTATTTAGTTTATCATATTGCCTGGTCGCTCTCTTGATAAGGTTGACCAGGTAGTGTGATAATGAGACAAGCATTGCTAGCAGTTATAACATGTGCTGAAGCTCCATGTCCAGCTTTATCTTTCCTGTGTGAAATGTAAATTCATTCACACAACACCATTATTTCCCATTTTCTTTTCACTCACTTCATTTTTTTATCTGCTTTATGGCTGCTACTCCTAAGATAGAATGATGAACTGGTGTTCATCATTCTAATATCCATATCTAATTGTAATATCCATGACTTAGTCAAATACAGTAGTGTGAAAACAACACAAGCTGCTGCAGGCACAGCTCAGCTGCAGAGTAAATCATATCAGTGGATTACTCAGAGCCATTGTGGGCACGTTACCTTGCAGTTACCTACCGTTAGTTCTGGGGATCAACGTCCCCGCGGGCCAGTCTCTGACCAGGCCTCCTGGTTGGTGGTCTGGTCAACCAGATTGTTAGATTTATTCTTTGGAGGTGTTTATCAAGTTCTCTTTTAAACACTGGAACAGGTTGGCTAGTTATGCTTCTTATATTTAGAGAGAGAGTGTGTTGAAAATTCTTAGGCCCATGATGTACATAGAATTCTTTGTCAATGTACCTATTATACCCCTGCTTTTCAATAGGGCTATTCTGCACTTCCTACCATGCCTCCTGGTCTCATAAAGTGTTATTTTTGTGTGGTACTCAATTGTTTGTGGTGGTTGAGCTTCAGCTCTAAGGTCCCAGCTCTCAACCGTCAATCAACCGACGTACAGATTCCTGAGCCTATTGGGCTCTGTCATATCTACACTTGAAACTGTGTATGGAGTCAGCCTCCACCACATCTCTTCCTAATGCATTCCACTTGTCAACCTCTTTGACACTAAAAAAGTTCTTTCTAACATCCCTGTGGATGTTTAGATGTGTTATGATTCTTTATCATATGTGCAGATTTGGAACCAGTCTCTAATATCTCTAATATTTTCCAATGCAAATTATTACTCATCTATCCCACCTGTACTCTAGAGAATACTGATTTACAAATTTTAAGCAGTCCTAATAATTTAGGTGTTTCATTGAGTGGATTTGGGCAGTAAAAGATCTTTTAAGGTTCTCCAGGTTAGCAATTTCTCCAACTTTGATTGGGGCTGTTAATGTGCAACAATATTCCACCCTAGAGAGTACTAGTGCCTTAAAAAGTACCATCATTGGTCTGGCATCTCTTGTTTGAAAGGTTCTTGTTACCCACCTTGTCATTTTTATTAGTTGTGACAGCTAAGTGAGTAAACTGTTACAGCTTGAGTCACAAAAAGAAAACCACATTATGTCACTATTGTGTTGTTTAAATGTGCATCACATAAAGAGTATATCATACAGCATTATGGTTTAATTCTCTTAATACAAAGAATCTTCACACATTAAGTAATCATATTTAACTTAAATGGTAAATTGCATTAAATCAAGTGCTTATTTCATGATCTATGATTTGGTTAGTGATGCATAGACATACAGTATAGGATTAAGTAACAAGAAAATAAATATGCTTCTAAGATATTACTGCACTATATTTTGTATATGGTGCATATTGTGTTTCCTTATTAAATAACTTGCACACCAATCTCCATTAGTTGTAAGTTATGCCAGATTTCGTTTGGAAAAGAAACAGGTCCTTGTGGGTACTATTCGTTGAAAGTAAACGACGTTGCATAATAAACAGTATGTAATGTCAGTCGCTTTCAACCAACGGAGCCCACTAAAGTAACTCACAGGATGACTTAATAAACTGTTATGAAACCTCATAGACGATGGTTGTATTCATTAGTGTATGCAGGATTAGTCTATGTCTATAATGATCGTGAAAAAACAATCATCAGTCATTATTTGATTGTGAAACATATACAGTACAGTATAAGTATTTTAAGAATGGATAATGAAGATTATAATTTAAAAAATTAGTTTTATTTCATTTATATTCTACTGTGGGTAACTGGTGTGTGGAGGTGTTTGTTCATCCATTAAATTTTCTTTTATAATATCTTTAACTATTTTTCACTATGGTGTTCATTTTTCTCTCTGGGCTGGTGACTTCCCATCCCATGAAAGTGAGGAATAGGGTAGTAATAATAATAATTATCAATTTTCCTGAATTTACCTGAGGGTCATTTTTACTCTAATAAAATTAGTATATAAATTATTATTAAAAGTTCCTCTTTACTGAGGAATTTACTCTAATGTCCTTGGTGAGGACAGGAAGCTGGCGGCTTGTCAGATGCCCCCCATTTATACTGTTAAGTTTTTCAAGCTGGATTTTAAACTTCAACAGTTTTTTGGCATTTACAGTTTCAGTGGATTAGCCATTCCATGGGTTTATAACTCTGTAGGCGAAAAAGCATCTCCTGTTTTCAGTCCTGCATTGTGCCTTGTTGAGCTAGAAACCATTGATTCTTGTTCGTGTTACATCTGACCTTTTGAAGAACTTGTCTGGATCAACATTCTCCAAACTGTTCAGTATTTTAAGTTTCATTGAGATCTGCCCAGTCATGTCTGGTTTACAGTGTTGTTAACCCTGTGGCCCTCAACCATTCTGAGTATGAGAGCTGACTTATTTCTGGAATGATTTTTGTTGTCTGGTGTTTGGCACCAGGCAACAACTTTCCTCTTCCAACTTTCTCCAAACCAGGTATGTCTTTCTGAAGATGAAGTTTCTATGCTAGAATACACTAATCCAAGCACCAGAGTTGAATACTGTATAGCATACCAAGCATACAGTTGAATAATGACCTTCTTGTCCTCAAAGTCAAAGATATGATTGATTATTCCTAGGATTTAGTTAGATTTTTTTTACTGTACAATAAACTATCTACTTGTTGACCAGACCACACACTAGAAGATGAAGGGACGACGACGTTTTGGTCCGTCCTGGACCATTCTCAAGTCGATTGTGAGAATCGACTTGAGAATGGTCCAGGACGGACCGAAACGTTGTCGTCCCTTCACCTTCTAGTGTGTGGTCTGGTCAACATACTTTAGCCATGTTATTGTGACTCATTGCCTGCAACTATCTTCTTCTTTGATTTCAGATCTCTTCATGGGAATGATATTTCAATGATCCCTGATGGTGCATTTCGTGATCTTGTCTTCATTACACATATGTAAGTGTTCTTTTATCATTTTTTGATGTATTTGTGATGCAAAATTCCATCAGTTCATTGCAGTACAATCTGTCACAACTCGAAAGAGAACCTTAAACTGAGTTTCACTAATGCACTCATTCTTCATTATAGAGCAATGGGAGCAAATCCACTTTATTGTGATTGCTCTTTGGCATGGTTTTCGGACTGGGTAAAAGGTGATTTTGTGGAACCTGGAATTGCGCGGTGTGCTGAGCCTCCATCTATGAGGGATAAACTTGTACTTACTACTCCAACACAGTCCTTTAAGTGTGTTCCAAAGGTCCCTGATGAGGTTAGTCAAAGAGTCATTTAATAAGTAAAGTACTATATAAGATGTATTTTTCACTGTTAAATTTATTTGAATAAATGTGGCACATTGTGTTTGGTAACTGTATTTTTTAACAGTTCTAAGAACACTTGAATAATGTTTTATTTGAAATTTCCCTTAAGTTCCAGGCTTTTTCTTCAGGTACTTGCCAAGTGTGACCTGTGCTATACGCATCCTTGTGAGAATGGTGCTACTTGTCGCCCCCTTGCCAACCGCAGCTATGAATGCAATTGTGCTCCAGCTTTCTATGGGCCAAACTGCCAGTATAAGATAGATGCTTGTTATGGCAATCCTTGCAGGAATCTGGGTACCTGCAAGATTCTTGAAGCTGGCCGATTCAGGTAGGCTCTCTTGTGAGAAGAATGTTGAATGTCTTGTATTTCTTTTAAGTTATCTTGAGATCAGTTTATCACAAGAAATTTTATATCACAATTTATCACAAGATATCACAATTTATCACAAGAAAATTTTTTCCTGTATAATGGCAAAGCAATATACTGTTTGTGCTTTGATTTTATAGAATTTTGTAAATGCTATGTCAGCTACTTATGTAACCTGATTATCATGAATATATACAAGCTTTTCTTTGAATGACAGAGCTTATCAGAAATTAAAGCTGTCATTAAAATAAAGTTATTCTTTGCCTTTGGCTAAAGTTGCTCACAAATTTGACCTTCTGGTCAGTATCACACACACACACATACTAACATAGTTCCAATCTACAAAAGTGGCAGCAGGGAAGACCCCCCTCAATTATAGACCTGTATCATTGACAAGTGTAATACAGAGCACCACTTGGTTTCCGAATCCATTGGGGACGAGACCCATCGGTTAACATGTTAGTTCGTATGCGAGAAATGGAGAAAAAAAAAATAGAAAAATTTATGAAAAAACTCTAGGGGAAAAATCGACAGGTTCATAGCGTAAATGCGACCGTATTTTGTTTGTACTCACCAATAATTGAAGTCCTGATCCGCTTATGTTGATGATCGATGTTGATGAAACATAGTTATTTACATGGAAGAGGTGATGGTGGATGTTGAAGTTGTTGGGTTGACTGAAGTTGTTGGGGTTGACTGAAGTTGTTGGGTTGACTGGGTCAACATGCGATGAGTCAGGTGCAGGTGATGCAATGCGAGCTTTCTTGGAAGCCATTGCAAAAGACTCTTTAATTGACATTTGTTTCATTCCCTTGGCTCTTGTATTTAAAAACTTCATATACAAATTGTACTGACTCATCATGTCCTTAGTTTCATACTCGCTGTAATTTTTGGGTAATTTTCATTGCTTGGTGAAATTCACTCGCCTTTTCCACGAGCAGCCAGCCTGCCACTGGCTTCTTCGTCACCTCACGTCTCTATTTGTACCACTCCCACACTGCATTATCAACATTCTCCACCTTTGCTTTACTGACTACCTTTCTATTTCGTATTGCCTTATCACTTTCACTTCTAGAGAAATAGTAAAAAATGATAGGTTTAGCCTTAAGAAGATCAAAAACAGTACTTTTATTAATGCCATATTCAGCGCACACGACACTTCTCGGGACACCGCTCTCCATCTTAATTATTTCAACTTTCTTCTCAAATGTCATCACTGACCTCTTTCCTTTACGTAACCCACTTGTAGATGCTTTCACTGACACAATGCGTGCATTTGGAGTCGACATGGTGCACGGATGTTCCTTGATTGTGCTGATATGTAAAACAAAGTCACGGAATGAACACTCCAGTCTTGTGACAAATTCAAACAATGGGAACAATAGGCCGTGAATCTGTGACATCACAGGGTAGGAGGCACCAGAGTGGTGGCGCCCGACACGGTCAGTGGGCAAACTAAACCATCTGCCACCCACCCACCCACCACCACGGGCCAGTGTTACGCTTGGCAGACCGCTTCCTCACCCGAACTTGGTTCGTGTAGGGTAACCCCAACATCGGCTGGCGAGAAGCTTGGTGGACTACTTCCTACCCGAACTTAGTTCGTGTAGCCTGACTCCCCAACCCCAATCGGGAAACTGGAAGTTTCGGATAACTAAAGTTCGGGAACCAAGTGGTGCTCTGTAGTCAAAATATTGGAAAAAATAATAAAAACTAAATGGGTAGAACACCTGTAGAGAAATAATATAATATCAGACAAACAGTATGGTTTTTGATCTGAAAGATTCTGTGTATCGAATTTACTTAGTTTCTATGATAGAGCCACAGAGATGTTACAGGAAAGAGATGATTGGGTTGACTACATCTATCTGGACCTAAAAACGGCTTTTGACAGAGTTCCACATAAGAGGTTGTTCTGGAAACTGGAAAATATTGGAGGGGTGACAGGTGAGCTCCTAACATGGATGAAAAATTTTCTGACTGATTGAAAAATGAGGGCAGTAATCAGAGGCAATGTATCGGACTGGAGAAATGTCAAAAGTGGAGTACCACAGGGTTCAGTTCTTGCACCGGTGATGTTCATTGTTTACATAAATGATCTACCAGTTGGAATACAGAATTATATGAACATGTTTGCTGATGATGGAAGGATAATATATGATCACTGTGTACAAAATAATAACAGGAATCGATAAAATTGATAGGGAAGCATTCCTGAGACCTGGAACTTCAAGAACAAGAGGTCATAGATTTCAACTAATGAAACAAAGCTGCCGGAGAAATATAAGAAAATTCACTTTTGTAAACAGAGTGGTAGACGGTTGGAACAAGTTAGGTGAGAAGGTGGTGGAGGACAAAACCATCAGTAATTTCAATGCGTTATATGACAAAGAGTGCTGGGAAGACGGGACACCACGAGCGTAGCTCTCATCCTGTAACTACACTTAGGTAATTACACATACTGAGCATGATCTTACACATAATGGCATTGTTTGACTTTCTGCTCTGACTCTTGGTTTAATTTGGTGTTGGGCTTAAGGCCTTTCAACCTCTGGATGGTTAAAACCACTGCAAGAGCTTACTGAGCAACCAGCAAGTTTGGTGCTGGGGCCTTAGAAAAAGAGTTCTTCATATTACTCAGTACCCAATATTTATTTGTCGTATTACGTCTTAACAACTGCTTTTGTTTCATATAGCTGCCACTGCCCTCCTGGATTTGAGGGTGACCGATGTGAGGTCAATATAGATGACTGTGCTGGAAACAAGTGTGAGAACAATTCTACATGTCTTGACCTTGTGGAGGAGTACAGGTGTCAGTGCCACCCTGGTTACACAGGTAAATTTTAATTATTCTTCATAACTTTACTAATTACTAAACAAATATTTTCAAGCGCACATACCCACACACACACACACACACACACACACACACACACACACACACACACACACACTCACACACACACACACACACCACCTTTTCTAAAATTCGTTAAGCTGAAACTCGGTAACTAACTTTACCTCGTTTATTATGTCTGAAGAACAGCGGTTTTTAAATTTCAGGAAAATTGGGATAATTGTAAAGAACCTACAAATATAAACATCTAGAGGCGGGTTCAAGAACTGATACTGTATTCACATCACATACTCCTAATTAACATATCTCCCAAAGATGGACCACCTCTGACCTTAATTCCATTCTTAAATTGATGACACCAAAGCGATGATTTATTGTTGGTTTATCCCTGACACAAAATCCACTCTTAAAATGTTGACAACTTAGCGACAATGTTTTCAAGGTCTGACCCCAACGCAAAATCCACTCTTAAAATGCTGACACTTTAGCGACGTTATTTTCCAGATTCAACCCCAATGCAAAATCCACTCTTAAAATGCTGAACGATGATATTTTCTGAAATAAAAAATCGTCGCTAAGGTGTCATACCATTTACTTTAAAAGCAAGCTGCATATAAAGGATAAATTCTAGAGATTGAAAATGGGGAACAGATTCACAGAAAATAAAAAGGAAATGGTGGCACAGCAACCGCGCCTCAGTTTACCAGTGCCTCCCGCCTAGTGACAATCGCACTAAAATTCTTTGTAAAGAATTTCAGGAAACAAAGAACACAAACACTTGAGGATGTTGAAAAGTTGTTATTAATTTGAGTACACAACAAGGAGTTAGGAGGTGATAGCATTTTCAGAGATCATCATTTGTGAGAATGCAAGGCAATTGCATGAAGACCTGTTAAAGAAAACCCCTGGAATGAGTGATGCAGATACAAAAGAGTTTAAGGCGAGCAGGGGATGGTTTGAGAAATTTAGAAAAAGAAGTGGCATTCATAGTGTTGAGTGCTGTGTGCTGTGAGATGGTGGAGAAACACAGCGAAGAACTGACCACCAAATAACTCATAGCCCTTCACAATGAGCAGCAACAAGAGGCAGCTGAGGAAATGTCTTCAGAGGAGGAGGCAGTACATAATATCCCTTCCTCAACAATTAAGAAGTGATGTAGACTATGGGAAGAAATGCAACCATTTGTTGAAAGGCCATGCCCTGAGCAAGCTGTGGTAGGCCATGGCCCTAACCTTTTTAATGACACTGTGATGCCTCACTACAGACAAGTGTTACAATGTAGGGAAAACAAGCCACTATGGATAGATTTTTAGTGAGAAAAACAAAAAAGGTTTCAATAGGTTTCAGCAACCTATTGGTAAGCCTGAAAAACATACCAGAGAAAGTACCCCAGAGAAGTAATCACTGCCTGATGTTATAATGGAAAGGGACTCCCCTTCCAAACACAAACACCTCTCATCCTCCCCATCTTCTTATCTTGTGGTTATCTTGAGATGATTTCGGGGCTTTAGTGTCCCCGCGGCCCGGTCCTCGACCAGGCCTCCACCTCCAGGAAGCAGCCTGTGACAGCTGACTAACACCCAGGTACCTATTTTACTGCTAGGTAACAGGGGCATAGGGGTGAAAGAAACTCTGCCCATTGTTTCTCGCCGGCGCCTGGGATTAAACCCAGGACCACAGGATCACAAGTCCAGTGTGCTGTCCGCTCGGCCGACCGGCTCCCACGTTTTCCCATCCTCACGTTTTCCATATGCCAACAAGAGTCATCAATAAAGGTAAGCAATAACTTGTACATACGTTAGTACTAAAGATTTGGGTGAATTAGGTATAAAATTTACTTTGAAGTTAATATTTTTGGGAGTGTGGAACGGATTAATTCAATTTACATTATTTCTTATGGAAAAATTCACTTCGGTTTACAAATTTTCAGGTTACGAACCTTCTCTGGGAATGGATTAAATTTGTAAGCTGAGGTACCACTGTATATTTGAGAAAAATTTGATTTTCAGAAAACCAAATACAATGTAAATTTCAGAGAAGACTATGGAGTTGTCTCAAAATAAAGTGGAAAAATTACTAAAGAAAAGAAATAATGCAGTTGGACCAGATTGAGTTTCACCTTGGATTCTGAGAGAATGTGCACCTGAGCTGAGAATTCCATTTCAATTGATATTTCAGACATCTTTGTGTGTAGGAATTTTAGCAAATATATATTGAAAAAACAAACATAGTTCCAATCTATAAAAATTGTAGCAGAGAAGACCCTATAAATTATAAATTCATAACATTGACAAGTGTTGCAGTCAAAATACTAGAAAAAATTGCTTAAACCAAACAATAGAAAGCCTGGAGGTAAAATTATATAATAACAGACAGTATGGCTTTTGAAGAGGAGGTGCCTGTGTAACAATTCAATCAAAAACCAAATCAAATCAAATCAAAATCAGATTTACTTAGTTCTATGTGAGCCACAGAGATTTTACAGTTAAGAGATGGTTGGGTTCACTCTGTTTATCTAGACCTAGAAAAGAGTTTATGAGTCCCAAACAAAAGATTGTTATGGTAACTGGAGCATACTGGAGGGGTGACATGCAGACTGCTGACATGGCTGAACAATCTTTTGACAGAAAGATGAAGAGTGGTAATGCATGGCAATGTATCAGACTGGAGAATTGTTACTAGCAGAGATCCACAAGGGTTTAGTTCTTGCACCAGTAATGTTCATCGTCTATTTGTCTATACAGTATAAGTGATCTACCAGGAGGAACACAGAATTATACGAACGTATTTGCTGATTACAAATGTCGTGCCCTTCAAGATTACCCACACAAAATAAGTGTATGGAACAACACTTGGCAGATGGAATTCAATGTGAATAGATGCCATGTTATGAAATGTGGAATAAGAGAAAATAGGCCACCACACAACCAATAAATTATGTGAAAAGGCTTTAAAGAACTGATAAAGAAAAAGATCTAGGGATAGTTCTGGATAGTAGACTGTCACAGGAGGACCACACATACAGAACAATGTTCGAGGTTCCTTCTGACTTCAGAATTGTTTTAAATACATAGATGGTGAAATATTAAAGAAATTGTTCATGACTTTTGTTAGACCAATATTGGAATAAGCAGTAGTTGTGTGGTGCCCATATCTCACGAAGCCCATCAACAAATTTGAAAAGGTACAAAGACATCAACAAATTTGAAAAGGTACAAAGACATGCTACTAAATGACTTCCGGAACTGAAAAGCAAGAGCTACGAGGACAGGCAAATGGTGTTAAGTATCCCAAAGCTAGAAGATAGAAGAAAAAGATGCACTATGATCACTACGTACAAAATAGTAACAGGAAATGACAAAATTGACAAAGAAATTCTTGAAACCTGCAACTTCAAGAACAAGCTAAGCAACATTACCGAAAAAATATTAAGAAGTTCTCTTTTGCAAACAGTAGTAGATGGTTGGAACAAGTTTAGTGAGAAGGTGATGGATGCCTGAATTATCAGTAGTTTCAAAGCATCATATGACAAAGAGTACATACTGGGAAGACGGAACACTACGAACGTAGCTCTAATCCTGCAACTACACTCATGTAATTACCTGTACACACATAAGTCGAGCCTGGCCTCAGGCTGGTCTCGGGGAGTAGAAGAACTCTCAGAACCCTTTTCAGGTATGCTCCAGGTATACACATGCATGGATATGATGTCCCAACAAGCATGAATGTTTAGAGAATTGACAGTGATACCACCGACTTATGTTTTGAATATAAAGCAGTGCAAGCTTTCCAAAATCAGTAATGATAAAGCTGGATAAAGTTTAGTGTCCATCGATAGACAAGTGACTACCACTATATATATACTGTATATAAGAATGTGATAAAAAAAACTTTAAACCATTACAAAGAATTGAAGAAAATATTAAAATAAATTTCTTAAACTAACTATGGTTATTACCATTTGCTTTAGAAATAGCCACATACATGTTGCTTGGAAAGTATCACTTTTTGACTCCATACTTCGTCATCGGTGGGCGAAAGTGTTAATTAATTTTATGTGGACAGGCAGCCTGTGTATATATACATATACACATCAACCTAGCAGTGCAAACACTTCATCACAAAGCTCTGAGCCTCTAAAATACCCACTGTCTAATGCTAACGAAACAAGTCACAACTAAAAGGTTAAACAATCCATGGCTTACTAAGGGTATACTTAAATCTATCAACAAAAAACCATGATTATGAAAAGTAGTATAGGTTAGGGGTCATCTCCAAAGAAGTTTCAAGGAGGTACTCATAAGTGCTGTTGAAAATAATTAGAGAGCCAAAATAAACTACTATGAGAATAAATTCAATCAAATTAAGGGCAATATGAAGAAAATGTGGAGCACTATTTCATAAATATTAGTATCAAATAAGATAGGATAAAACCCACATGTGTATTGGTGAAATTTGTGTAAGGAATTTACACCAAGTCTTTTGCATTCTCCTGAGTGCTTTGTCAAGGTCTGAGTGTGTGATTAGGATGAGACTTACATCTCAATGTCTAATGAGGTTGCTATCATGGGTCCAATCCTCTTACCCTTTTTGACCTCCTGACCATGTCACCTCTGTTCCCGACTGCTGATGTACCTGCGGCAATGTCTTCTACAGAATTGTGGTCGTGTGTCCTTTCCATAATCCTGCTGTTCTGGGAACTGGGGTTGTTATTAATAGAGGTGTTTATCTGGATGCTATACCTCGTAACCCTCTCAATACCCCAAGGAACACAGCTAATGGGACTGTTTTCATTCATCCATTTATTGAGATCTAATTTTAATTCACTCAGAATCATTTTCCTAGTAAAGTTATCCTCTGAAGTGAAGCTTTTGTTGCCAGCGAAAGTATTCAGAGTACTATTTATTAGAACCCCTTCCACTACCCTTCTAGTGCTAATATTATTACTTTTATAGATTATTTCACATTTCAAAAAATCAATATTGTGATCCTTTTCCCAACTATGGTTTGCTACAGCACTGTTACCAGCCATAATTCTACATGCTTTCTTATGTTCTTCAATTCTGAACTCAAGTTTGGATTCATGGATTAATTGATTACATAATGGAGCTCCTCTCTTATTGGCTGATATCTTACCTTTTAACCAATCATTGCATGCCTTGAATGTCACCTATCTGCTTGGGCTTACACACATCGCCTAATACAAGGATGGAAGTGACGTCAGTCTCGTTGAATAGTATCATTTCTCACTTTAGAAATGAGAAAATTAGCACATAAGAAATATATCATACACAATTCTAAGATGAATGACATCCTAAACTAAACAGAAAATGCCCTAACAGTTGCATATGATGAAAATTACTTGTATATAACTCACTGGGGTAGAATAATGTTGCATGGCCAGATTGCATTGAATTTGTATACACTGTGTGTATTTATTTATTTGTGTAATATTTCTTTTACTTTTGTAATTTTGTGTACTTGTAAACATTATATAAATTAAGTGAACTTTTTTCTGAAAATTCAGTAGTACTTTACCCTGTATGTGTACTCTTTACATCCATTCAGGTGACTACTGTGAGCGTAAGATCCCCTTCTGCACCAAAGAATTTAATCCCTGTAAAAATGGAGCCACGTGTGTCGATCACTCAACTCACTATGAGTGCCAGTGCTCTCTGGGATATACAGGCGAGAACTGTACCGTGAACATTGACGACTGTGCCAACCATTTGTGTCAGGTATTGTATAGTTTCTTTCTCATTTCCATGTGTAATATATGCTATACTTTGAACAAATTAGATGGATAAAGTTGCCAGCTATTTAATGCAGAGATGCTACATAATCTCCTCACTTTGGTGCCTTCCTTCTTGTAATAATTCCTTAATATAATAATATAAAATATTGACTATTTTATTATTTATAATAATATAAAATATTGACTATGATGTTGCTTTGTACAAATTTTAATGGTTAATGTCAACAGAATGGTGCATCATGTGTAGATGGAGAAAATGAATACACATGCAAGTGCATTAATGACTACACGGGGAAGTTCTGTGAAGTCGGCCCGGCAGTGTTCCTTCAGACTTCACCCTGTCAACAGAATGACTGTCAGAATGGCATTTGTTTTGTTCCTCCAAACTCAAAAGATTATGTGTGCAAATGTTCTCCAGGTTTTTCAGGTGAGCAATGCAGCCATATATCTTTGTATAGGATTTTTTAATAGGTATTCATGGTCTGAAAACTTTAAAAAAGGCTGAGGAAGCAAATGAACAAAACAGGAAGCAGATGTTCACAATCATACTACAATATATTTTTACTTTGTTTAATATCTGCAATTTATTGTAGAACATTGAAACTACATATCCTTGCACTTTGATAACCTAAATTTATTTAATAGTTAACCGTTTAGTCAAGGTCTCATACGTGATGATTTGATGGAGGGAAATCTTTGTTGGCAGAGTATCAGTATGGTTTAAGGCATTGAGCTTTGCCTCAAGGCAAAGCCGAGACTGATCTTTAATTTGTTCCTTGGGAGGGAGGGATTTAAATTTGAAATGGCATAATCTGAATTTTGAGTTTCAATTTCAAAGCTCAATATGTAACCTTTTTTCACAACTAACCCCCAGGATGGGTATCATAAATGAACTCAACTGAACATCCTTGATGTTGATTTACAGAAGGGGTTACCTTGAGGTGTTTCCGGGGCTTAGCGTCCTCGCGGCCCGGTCATCGACCAGGCCTCCTACCAGGGGGTAGATTGTTTTTTTTAAATTATTCTGTATAGTGTTTCACAGCTGTCTGATAAGAGTAAACAAAAATATAGTGTTAACTTTTTCAACTATTTATCCATTCATTCCTTGCCATACAGCATGGAATTTACAATAATTTAGGGTTTCCCAGTATCGTGGACAGGAAGGCTGTCAGGCTTATAGAGGTTCCGCTAGGCCAACTACTGACCTTACCCATGATGCTGCCCACAACAATTATCTAACTCCTGGGTGTCTCTTGCTAGAGGAACAAAGAAATCAGGTGAAAGAAAACAATACTCACACATTTGTCCTGCCATAGGAATTGAACCCGGGACTTTCCGATTGTAACCAGACATCTTGTTAATTTTTGTTACACGAGAGCTAAAAAAAATCAGTTTTTTCATAAATTCATAAACAATTGTGTTAATTACAAACCAGATATAATTCAATTTTTGTTTACAAATATTACATATATATATTTAGGTACTATATAATATACTGTTTGCTTTGCATTTAAAAGTAAACTTCTTGTTTGAGAGGGTAGAAAGAAAGTGATAATACTGTCAAGACATTAATCTTAACAGTATTATCACTTTTCAGTAATAGTAGACTTATACTGTATTGTAATTAGAAGTAGATAATTGACAAACTAATCATTGGTGGTATGAAAACTAGGTTGGGTATTATTGTAAATAAGAGGGTATGATTAGTTGTGAGGATGGGCTGTGTGAAATTTAAAGGGTAGTGAAGTCATAGGTTGTGAAATTTATGGGGTAGTAAAGTCAGCTTGTCAAATTTAAGGGGTAGTAAAGTCAAGTTGTAAAATTTAATTAGTAGTAAAGGCAGCTTGTGAAATTTAACCACTTAACTGTGCATTCTGAGACTTGTGCAATTTTTTGTTTTAATTAGGCCATATTTAAATGTTTTTTAAAGTTTTCATCACACTTTGTGATTTGAAATGAAAAGGGTTGAGTTTGGAAACATTTTGACATTAATATTAGCTGAACACATAAAAACAAGAAAAATATGTCCTTAACAATTGAACCATGAAATTTTGACCAAAATCAGGTGTGCAGTGCAGGGATAGTAAAGTCTGGCTATGAAATTTAACGGTAGTAAGGTAATAGCAAGGAAAAACTAAGTCAAAGAGATAAGTTATTTATTATAGTGAAGTAACTATAGGATACATAAATTTAATAATTCAGTCCCCAGCAGTACAGACTTGTTACAGCAGTACAGGTATTCGGTTTATATTTGCTGTGGTTATCCTGGTAGTAGGTAAACTACATGTGTTTACCTAATATGTTTACAGTACCTTATCCTTTTTTATGTGTAGCAATTTAACAAATTAACTGGTGTCATCACTGGTTCGAAAAATATGCAAGTTGTAAAGGGGTTTGAGAATGATTTATTGTAATGACTCTGGTTTTTGTTTGTATTTTGTAGGAAAACACTGTGAGTATCTAACTCGGGTTCATTTTGGTACCAATGACTCTTATCTTGCTCTGGAGCCTCTTAGAACCCGTCCCACATCCAATGTGACTCTTCACTTCCGAACTAACCAAGAAGATGGAGTGCTACTCTACATAGGAGAGTCGGCACATCTTGCAGTGGAGCTGTTTAAGGGTCGCATCAGAGTATCTTTTGATGTGGGAAATTATCCAGTTTCCAACATGTTCAGGTATGTCATTATGAATCTTTCTAATTGTTACTGAATCTTTGCTATATTTCTTATGTTTGTCTTCACTTGGGACAGAAGTTTAAAAATAAACTTGGAAGCTTATTTTCCAATTTGATTGGGCCTGATGCATATCACTAAAGGATGCATTTTAATACAGCTCTTTCCAACATGTACCACGGCAGAAGAAAAATAGATACAGTGGCACCTCAACTTACGACAGCTCCTACTTATGAATTTTTTGATTTATGACGTAATTTCATCGGAAAATGCAACTCGATTTACGACCCTTGCCTCGACTAGCGACTTTGTTGATACGCGTATGGGTCAACCGATCGCATGGTTTCTGGTGCAGCTGACTTTCCCTCAGTTTACCAGAGCCACCTGCTTAGTGACGATCATACTCGAAAAAAATTTAATTTTTTTTTTTTTTTTTTTTTTTTTTTTTTTTTTTTTTTAAGATAAAAGTAATTATTATATATTATGCCATGGGTCCCAAGAAAGTCAGTGGTAAGGTTCAACCTAAGAAAACACATGTGAGGATGACCACAGAGGAAAAAGAAGAGATCATTCGTAAACATGAAAATGGTATATGGGTTGTTGATGTAGAGTAGAGGATGTCCCTTCCTCAAGAAAATGTGTGCAGTGTGGAAAGAATTGCAAAGTTTTGCTGACAAGTGTCACCCAAATCAAGCTGTAGCCGGCCGTCGTGTTAAATTTTTTAATGACAATGTGATGTCTCACTTCAGACAAGTGTTACAACGTAGGGAAAAACAAGTGTTGCTAGACAGGTTTTTAGTGAGAAAAATAAGCAGTGAGCCACAAGCAGGTCCTAGTGGTATGGTGGCAAAGCATAGGAGAGAGAGTACCCCAGAAAAGTCATCACTGCTTTTGTTCACATATGCCTAATGTTATAATGGAAGGGGATTCCCCTTCCAAACACTAACACCTCTCCTCCTTCCCTCCTTCTAACCGTCTTCCATACGCCAACAAGAGTCATTCAAGGTAAGATATACATACAGTACTGTATAGTAGCTAGTACACAATGAGTGTTATTTGGTATAAAATATATTTTTAAGTTAATATTTTTTGGGGTGTGGAATGAATTAATTCAATTTACATTATTTCTTAACTGTCTTCCATCCGTCTTCAAAAATTCGTTTCGACTTACAACCCGTCTCTGGGAACGGATTAAATTCTTAAGTCGAGGCCCCACTATACATTGTAGCAGGCTTGACATTACATGTACTGTACTGTAAATACACTGCACAGGATGAGGAGTGGTGTTAATCTTTCAGTGTCAGTTGAGGCACTTGGTGTGGTGTGAGGTGTCAGTTGGGGCACTTCTAGAACCATAGAATTGCCAACCTACCAAAGCCAAGGTAATGCCTAGACATTACCTCAGTTCAAAATCTGGATGCAAAAAATCCTCAGGAACAGTGGGGGGGGGAGGACTCTTTGACAAACCACTGGCTTCCTGTCCCTGGAATGGGCACTAGAGATATAATAATAATAATAATAATAATTTTTATTTAGGTAAGGTACATACATAAAGAGATTTTACAAAGTTTGTTGGCTTTATAGATAGAGCTAGTACATACAATGCCTAAAGCCACTACAGTATTACGCAAAGCGTTTCGGGCAGAGAGTGACCTTCAGGTAACTTCAGTTAAATATGTGCAGGTTGGCAGTAAATTGTGAGCTGTATCTTCTGGTTTGCGTTAGAAGTTATATTTCTGTTATGTTTTCTGGGGAAAGCCCCGTCAACTCCCCGGAGCTATCCAGGCTGAATGGATATGTATAACTTTCTGGCATCAGTCAGTGCTTGGAGTTCTTGCCTACCGGGAACCATGAGCCAGAACCTGGCTCCCTCAGAGAGGCATGAGGAGCAATGGCCTATAGAAACCCTGTGGTTGGGAGCATTCTATATCTGCCATCGACTGGGACAGGCACCCAGAAAGGTAGGCGCCTCCCCAAACAAAATTATCAAACTGGCATGACATCATCACGTCGCCGCACCACCGTCTGCGCAACCCCCTCCCCGGAGGGGGAAAGGGGGAGCCCCAGACCCTCCGCACCGACGATCGAACCGGCAGATCTTGGCTGATGTGATTACTGACCGGTCGGGTGCCTATGGCTCTGGTTTTGTTTCAGTTCTGTGTCTTGTGGTGTGGGCTGTCTCTACAGATGATGTTTGAGCCAGGAGACATATTCCATGGTACTCGGGCTGCAGGTGCTTAGGGCTCTCTTCCCTAGGTGCCCTGTAAGTATTGCGCTTGGGGCTTGGGGCCACCTTCCACAAGTCACCTTGGGATCTACCTCCACTGTGTCCTTTACCGCTCGGTACTTGGCCGCCCTTGTAGTCAGCTGGGGTTTTGTTGCCTTTGTCTCTGGATAGGAGGTAGTTTTCATCACTGGTAGGGGCATGGAGTACTGCACAGCTAGTTTTCACCAATAACAGCGGCCGGCTCTGTTCCGCCTGGGTACGTTGTCCTCTTGCAGGGTTTTTCTTTTGTTTTTGTTTTTTGCCTGGTGGGGGGTTCTGCCTTCGTACTCTAGTTGTGTTTGCAGGGGTTGAGCTCTGGCTCTTTGTGGTCCCCCTTTGCAGTTATAGGGGTATTTATGTATATATTTTTTGTTTTGGAGGTACTCCCCGCTTGGCCCCCGTGAGTGGACACGTCCTGGGGGTTCAGCTTGTAGAAGTTTGTTTGGTAGACTTGGGTGCCGATTCGCAGTATCCTGCCTGGGCTTCCCTTAGCGTGTACCAAGGCTAAGGGCCCTGGGAAACCCTACGGGGGCTACGTTGTCCGATGGATGTGATCCCTGAGTCCCCCCTCGCATCTTGTGAGTTTGAAGGTTGCTCTGTCACCTTGTTTCAGGGTGACACTCACCGGTTGTGCATCCGCCATGTTGCCTGTTGGGTTGGTGATTCTTTTGACCCGGAGTCGTGTGACGTGTTTTGTATGTATGTGCTCCCATTTACCCAAGCCACTGATCATGATATGCGGGTGCAGGCAGCTATGGCATTGCATGCTAGGTTTAGGTTGCTGCAACTCGCTAGGTTGGTTGCAGTCCCCCGGATGCCCCGAGACTGCCCCGTTTTGGTTATCAGGGTCCGGACTTGGGGGTGGGAGTCGCTTCTGGCTCTGGTTCCAACTGGTCCTCCTAGTCCTTTCCCTTCTGTTATGCATACTTCCTTCCCCTTGCTTTTTGTTTAATTTTTCGGCACCTGGGTCTTTTCTTGATATTTGGACAATCTTCGTTCCCTTGGTTCGTGCTTTGTGTCCTCATTCATTGACTCGGTCTCTGATCTCTGGCCACTCCTTCCTTGTCTATCTTCAGTGCCAGGCTGCACCTTTATATCCATGGTGTCCCTCTGTGTATGTGCGACCAACTGCAACACTCGATGTGGTTGGTCATGTACATTGCGTTACCGGCTGCTACTTGGTCCGTATTTCGGGTCTTTTCCTTGCCTATTTCCGTTTTTCCTCCCTCTATGCTACACATAGGTGTAATTACCTAAGTGTAATTACAGGATGAGAGCTATGCTCATGGTGTCTCATCTTCCCAGCACTCTTTGTCATATAACGCTTTGAAACTACTGACGGTCTTGGCCTCCACCACCTTCTCAGCTAACTTGTTCCAACCGTCTACCACTGTTTGCGAAAGTGAATTTTCTTATATTTCTTCGGCATCTGTGTTTAGCTAGTTTAAATCTATGACCTCTTGTTCTTAAAGTTCCAGGTCTCAGGAAATCTTCCTTATCGATTTTATCAATTCCTGTTACTATTTTGTATGTACAGTAGTGATCGTATCACCTCTTTTTCTTCTGTCTTCTAGTTTTGGCATATTTAATGCCTCTAACCTCTCCTCGTAGCTCTTGCCCTTCAGTTCTGGGAGCCACTTAGTAGCATGTCTTTGCACCTTTTCCAGTTTGTTGATGTGCTTCTTAAGATATGGGCACCACACAACCGCTGCATATTCTAGCTTTGGCCTAACAAAAGTCGTGAACAATTTCTTTAGTATATCGCCATCCATGTATTTAAAAGCAATTCTGAAGTTAGAAAGCATGGCATAGGCTCCTCGCACAATATTCTTTATGTGGTCCTCAGGTGATAGTTTTCTATCTAGAACCACCACTAGATCTCTTTCTTTATCAGAATTCTTTAAAGATTTCTCACATAATATATAGGTTGTGTGAGGTCTATGTTCTCCTATTCCACATTCCATAACATGGCATTTATTAACATTAAATTCCATTTGCCAAGTGTTGCTCCATATACTTATTTTGTCCAGGTCATCTTGAAGGGCATGACAATCATCTAAATTTCTTATCCTTCCTATTATCTTAGCATCATCAACAAACATGTTCATATAATTCTGTATACCAACTGGTAGATCATTAATGTAGACAATAAACATCACTGGTGCATGAACTGACCCCTGTGGTACTCCACTTTTGACATTTCTCCAGTCCGATACATTGCCTCTGATCACTGCCCTCATTTTTCTACCAGTCAGAAAATGTTCAATCCATGTTAGAAGCTTACCTGTCACCCCTCCAATATTTTCCAGTTTCCAGAACAACCTCTTATGTGGAACTCTATCGAAAGCCTTTTTTAGGTCCAGATACATGCAGTCAACCCAACCATCTCTTTCCTGTAAAATCTCTGTTGCTCGATCATAGAAACTGAGTAAATTCGATACACAGGATCTTCCAGATCGTGTGTATCTTGGTCGGTGCTTATTGGCTATATGTACTGTTGTTAGGTGCTGGAGTGGGCTTCTGTCCAGGTTCAGTTCCCGGATTTTGGACTAAACCAGTGTTCAGTTTTGGTACTGAGTTCTTTCACTTTTTCCTTGTATCTCCTTGCAGGCTTCTGTGTTGCAATATCTGCAGGTGGTTGTGGACTTCTGGTCAACCGCTCCTACCCTACTGGTTCCTTTTCTTGGGATGGGTAGCTAGGATTCCAGTCCTGGCTCCAGCTTTTCTTTGTTCATTTTCCGAACCGTATGATTTTTTTTTCCTGCGGTACACGTCCTGCGTCGTTCTCCTCGTGTATACCTCGGGGACGTGTGCGTCGTTTTTCCCTGCTGGAGCTGGTTGCACTGCTCCTTCGGGTTGCAGGGTCGCTGTTTTTTTCTTCGCGTCTCATGTTTTAGTTTGTGGTGCTCATTTTCCTTGTTGACCTCTGCCTGGGCCCTGGCTCTTCGGTGTTTGGCCTTGTTGGTCCTTTAGGGGTCCTGGGGGGGGGGGGGGGGTTCCTCCCGGACAGGGTGTGTCTGCTTACCCGGGTTGGTTCTTTTTCGGCTCGCCGGGTTTGAGTTCCTGCTTCCCTGGAGGCCGTTCCTTCTGGTTCTTTGCCAGCCTTAGTTGGGGGGGCGCTGCTGTCTTCAGTTTCCGATCTCGAGGGTCTTCCTGCAGCTCCGCCTCTTTTTGCAGATCGGTCCAGCCCTGTACGAGGCTGGTTCGTTCTTCCCTTCGAGTCTTCACGTCTCGGGTTTTTGTCTCAAGTTTCTTGTTGCTTATGTAGGCACTGGTGGCTTCGCTGTTGGTCTTCCAACTGCATGCTTCGTCTCAGTGGCAGTGTATAGTTTCCTGGCTGTCCTTCTGGTTTTCCTATCACTGCGGAGAGTTCTTTGGTCTCTAATAGGGTTGTCTTGTCTTTCCCTTTGGCGTTGTTCCAGGGCCATCTTCTGGTGCCGTGTACTGTCGCCTCGTCTGGGTGGCGCTGGCGGGCCTCTCCAGCTTGCGTTCGGTGTTGCTGTTCCTTCTGTTCTGTTCCGCTTGCTGTCTTGGGTGTTGTTTCACCTTTGGCCTGCTCTTATGCTTCTGGTACCGTCCTGGTCATTGGCCCAGGTGGTCTATTTTCTTCTTCTCTTCAGTGTGTCATGAACCCCTTTGGTTCTCGTGTGTTTTTGTTTTGTTACCTTATAGCCAGGTATAAGGGTCGGGGAGTGTCCGGCTTTCCTCCGGCGCCCATGTTTTTTCTGCCTCGTTTGGTCTTAGTGGTAGGTTCTTCGTTTGCTGCAGTCTCCTTCTTTTTGGATGATGTTTGGACCTGCTGTTTTCCGGAGGGGTCCTTGGGTTGCTGCTTGGTTGGTCAGGCCGGGGGTGCTTCATTTGTTGTTCAGTTGCGGCTCTTCGCTGTGCAGAAAAGGGAGAGGCGGTGAGAGGTTGACTGGCAGATGTGGTGGCCACACCTCACTGCTTTTTGACTTGCAATATCAACTTAGTGGTTCGTTATGATGAACAAAACATGCAGATACATATATAGTGTATAACCTGTGTATCTAGTGTAATAACCGACAAAGTATTTGTTTATTGTTTTGTGAACACAATAATTGAATCAATAATATGCACACCATAATTTTGAGTACAGCGATGATTCACACATTTTATTATATAAATATATCACACTACACACTATTGAATAATATTACAGCAAAAAAATGAAGAAAAATCAATCAGAGTCATTGAAATAATTAGGTAATTATCTCTTTGTGGCCACTCCTGCCTGACAGCTGGGACTGAGCAGACTGCCTCCGATGCACACTGAGTCAGCGCCTCTTTTTTGCCAGGCTTCCCTGCCCTATAGCGGGCAAAATATGCCACTTACGATTGTTTTATTATTTTTTCCGTGATCAGGGAACACAAATTAACAGGTTTAGAAGAATTTTTTTTTGTTATGCATCTGTGGGTCACAATGGCCAAATAACCTTTAGCAACACAAGGGTTAACCCTTAGACAATGGTTATGGAGAAAGTCATACAGTACAGTACCTGTCTATGCACAAAAAAAATAAAAAAAAATTGTCATTATTATTATAAATCTGTATGCAAACTGTAAGAAAAATATGAAAATCAGTGAATGTTTATCATTTCATTGGGTGGAGGCACTCGACTCGTTGGGTGTGCAGTAGGTATGTTTAACACCTGCCAACATCCAGTGCCTGACTGCTGATGCTGCCTGTGTTATCCTCGGGTGTTTCACTGATTGTTTATTGCCTGCTTCTCTTCATTTACCAGAGTATGTGTGTTGAATAACTTGATAAATCACATAATTTAACCAGCGCAATTGTTTCAATAATAGATGTTTCAACTGATGATTGGTTTACCTGGTATACTCCATTACAACCATAAAGAGTAGTGAAAAGGATATGAACATAATATACAATGGTGTTGGGCTCTGGGCAATGACATATGGTCTAATTAGCACCATATGGGCAAGAGTATAGATTGAAAGAAAGGCGTAAGCCATCAATATAGCACATGTACATGGCAGCAGGATCCTCCTGGTATGCATAACAATGAAATGGTAGCAGGATTTTTTTAATGGGTCAAGGGTAAACTCCATTGCATCCACAGAGAGCTATTATATCCATATTTGCATCACATATATAAAACCCAGACAGTAATTGTTCAAAAAGTCATACGACGATGACCGCATTTCCCCTAGTAATATTCATGACAGTAACTGCATTCCCCTAGTAAACGTAACCATGAAATGGTGGTAGGATTTTTTTCATGGGTCAAGGTAAACTCCATTACTAAACATTCACATAGAGCTATTATATCCATAATTGCATCATACATATAAAACCCAGACAGTAATTGTTTAAATCGTCATATGACAATAAGCGCATTACCCCGTGAATCAACGAATGACGACAACTGCTGTCTAAGGGTTAATAATGTAATATATGACAATACTGTATTTTAAACATTATTACAGTAGTGTGTAACAATCTTAATGATTTCATAATTTTTTTACAGTTATGAGGTTGTAAGTGATGGAGAGTGGCATTCTGTTGAACTGCTGACTATTAAGCAGAACTTCACAATGCGTATAGATCGGGGTACTGCACGCTCAATAATAAATGATGGATCTAATGAATACCTTCAGGTCTCTTCACCCCTCTATATTGGTGGTCTTCCCAAGGAAGTGGCACAGTCTGCCAACAGACAGTGGCATCTACGGGACTCGGGAAGCTTCAGTGGTAAGGAACCTAATGTGTTTATGTTGTAATCCAAGTACTGTAAATGGTTTTAAATAATATAACCAAGTTCTGTGTCATCTTTTATTTACTTTTTAAGCTTTATTTGAATTCTTTTTTTGACAGTATCAAACTATAGTATTTTGTTTATTATTTGTATAGGTTGTATGGAAAGAATGTATCTGAATGGTCGTCTTACGGATCTTGGCTCTGGGCAGCAGCACAAGGTTGCCCCTGGTTGTGGTGGTGAGGAGACTGTCAGAGATCAGGGTCTTAACGGGATTGACCAGCACATGTTAAAACCTACGCACCGGCTTGGAGCTAAAGAAGAGGAATGTCATCACAATAACTCAATTGCTAATGAAGTTCAGGTAAATCAAACTGTCCCATTGTCATCTGTATTAGCACATGGGGATCTAGAGGCATCATCCCAGAAGTAAAAGTCACAAATGATAAAAGAATAATAAGAATTTCTTTAAAAAGATACTCTGTTCACTCGCCAAATCTTTCACATTCTGCAGCATCACAGAATCAACACTGTCACACTAGCAATCCATCCAGTAATATATTTATGAAGTAAAATAACATTTTGATTAAATATAAGTTGGCATTCTTAACTTTCAATGTTTTTGTAATAATATATTTTTAAATTTATTACCTGCATTCAGTAAGCTTGTCCTTGTTTGTTTAACAGTAACCCATTTAGAACTTCCATACACCAGTTTTAGCACATTTCTGTTCAGTTGGCTCTGTGAGGCTTTATGGCTCCCTGAGGTGAACCTCTACACTTAAGCATGGAACTAGTGGCTTCCATTCTACATAGTTCTGTTCCCCAATCATGAGGCTGTGGATGCTTTTCAGCTGGTCTGGTCAAGGTGGATGCCTTTTCTCTCTTTCCTCCACATTCAACTGTTGATCCATGTTTTGTCCAGACTTGAGACTTTCACTTTACAGAATATTCCTTCTATCTCCTTGGTGGCCTGCTTAATCTTGGTTTCTGACCCTTTTTGGCGCAGTGTCCGAATCCAAGCATGTTTTTGCTGCTTTGAGGTTCTCCTCAACTCTTTGTATGCAGAATTTCTGACGCTGGTTTGTTGCCATCTGTGTGGTGCTCAGGTGGCTGAGCTCTTGGTTCCCACCTGCATCATTTGTCTTGGGGGTAGTATGATGTTTCCTGGTGCTCTTTTCATCTATTAGTCTCTCTTCATCATTTGTCTTCTGTCTTGGTAGTTTGTTGATTACCATCTTATATCCAATTGTGTCGCTTCTTATTGTTTGGAAGAGCCACTTTTGTTGCTTTCAGTGTTGACTCAGCACCATTTCATAAGTTGTCTTGCGGATTTTTTCACCTCCAGTCTGCTCATTTTCTTCATGGTCTCTGGATTGGGTGATGGTTTTTCTTTTATTTTGATGAAAGCCTGTGACTCCTTTTTGAGGCCTTCTGTTTTTGTTAGCCTTTACTTCAAATTGTGGGGTTGAAGAATTTCTTGCTCTCCTCTAAAAGCATAGATTTTGTTCTTTCTGGCATGGTGGGCAGTTTTGTCTGCAGCTTTCTCTTTCTTTTCTGGCTCAAATAGAAATGATTGGTCTCTGAAGGGGTCCTTTAGGTATTGATTCTTAGTTTGTTTAGTCAGGGTTGCATCACTTGTGTCCAGTTGCAGCAGTCCACAGTGTCATACCTGGTCAGTGTACCTTTTTCCCTCTGAGCTTGCATTGCTCTCGGGTTTGCCTCATAGTCTCTTCCTTTTGGGGGCTTGCTTGATCCTAACTCTCCTCTTCTTCTAATGAATCCCACTTTTCTCAGGACTGAAGATTGTTGACAGTAGAACCAATAGCTCCTATTGTGCTGTCACCTGATGGTGTGGTCAGCTTTTATTATTTATTTATTTATTTATTTATATATATATACTGTGTGTATATATATATACATATATATATATATATATATATATATATATATATATATATATATATATATATATATATATATATATATATATATATATATATATATATATATATATATATATATATATATTTTTTTTTTTTTTGTGAGGGTACCACCTCTGGTGCCAATGTGGGGACCCATAGCCTCGGAGAAGAAAATAAAAAGTATTCAGAGGAGACCTTGTGGTCTCTCACTGAACACTAATATTATCTTCTCCTACCACCCCCATTCTTTTGTATGTACATATATATATTTACTTTATTTGAACTTTGTTACAAAAAAGGAGTTACATATGGGTTACAAAGATGGTTGTCATAGGTTGTCGAGTTCCTCCAGCTCCTCAGATGGCGGGCAGGAACCCTGGATGCAGTGCGCATTTCCCCTCTGTATCGCCACACTGAGGCGCTGGAAAAGAAAGCTTGCAGCTCTCGGGTCCCTTGTTGTTTCAATGAGCCTAGAACTCAGTTCCTTCAAAAAACTGGTAGCACTTTTACCCCAGGCGCCGAGCGTCTCAGAAGCAATGGGGACAAAATTGTAGTGGTGATCCAGTTCTCTATACTTACGGGATTTGGCTGCTTCCCTGTGGGTGGCAGCGCCACCTGGTTGTGCAACACTGAGGTTAATGTAGGTGTTAGCCAGGGTTGATACGCACGTGTAGTCCCATACCAACTGCTTGCCATTCTTCCAGGGGTTCACTGTGATACCATCCGGGCGACCAATAAGAGCATCAGAGTTACGGGGCGTTAGGTAACGGGGCTCTCTTTCAGCTGGGCATCCAGCTGTAGTGAGGCTCCTCTTGATGATGTCGTTAACTTCACTGTGCCTCGAGTGCCATCCCCCTGTGCTTTGGCAGAGTAGGCCATGGTGACCGTACCTGTCAGCCACCACCTCGCCGCAAATACACCTATATCTGGTGTGGATTGGGGCAGCAAGGCGGAGGGCCACAGCAATTCGGAGGGCGTGTGGTGTGAGACGCGTGCCAGTTGCCGACATTGGGGTTGCTAACAGGAAATCCCCTGCATGTGGTGCTGCTACTGCTGTGAGGCGAGCAATGTCGTGTTGTGTTGTTGCAGCACCCAGGCACTCTGCAGCAACTTGGTCTACAATGGGACCATCCCAGCTGGATTGCTTGTGGGATTTTGGGGATGGTGGTTGAGGTGATTGGCCTGCACGAGAGGCCCACTCTGTGGCACAGCGTGTAAAATTGGGATCATGTACACCTGCCAGCTGATGTAAGTGGGCAGGTAGAATTTCCTTCACAAGGTCGTCGGATGCTTACTGGATATATATATATATATAAATATAAATATATATATATATATATATATATAATATATATATATATATATATATATATATATATATATATATATATATATATATATATATATATTTCTGTCTGTTATGCTTCTAATACTGTACTGTACTGAGTTAATATACTCTCTAGATACACCCACCTGCCCTAGAAGAGGAGCACAAGGAAGAAGATATAACTCGGGTTGATCCATGTGAAAATCACAAGTGTCGTCGTGGACGATGCAAGCCCAAGCGCAAAGCAGATGGATTTGATTACAAGTGTCGCTGCCGAACTGGATGGTCTGGAAGGTTTTGTGATCAGGGTGAGTTTTTCTGTTTGTATTTAAAAAGTAAGAAGTTTGGGTTTCCAGTTGTCGGGAACAGTAAGCCTGAAGTTTGTCTTATCGAGGTTCTCCTGGACCAACTACTGATCATTTCCAGGATGCAAACCATGACAGTTATCTAACTCTCAGGTACCTATTTACTGCTAGGTGAACAGGTGCATTAGATGAAAGGTAATGTGCCCAACCAGTTCTGTTCTTCCTAGGGAATCAAATCTGGGATCTCTCAATTGTGAGCCGACGATATAACCACTGATTTGAGAGAATCTTACTGGATTTGAGGAAATGCATATGAATATTTTGTTCTCTTACTACCCCGAGTATACTGTACTTATTTATTACTTTTCTGTGAAGAGCCCCTCCGGCTCCACCGACCAGGCTGATGTGTGTATATATTATATATAATAAATAAATAAATAAATAAATGTTTATTCAGGTAAGGTACATACATACAAGAGATTTTACAAAAATTGATTGATTTATAGATAGAGCTAGTACATACAATGCCTAAAGCCACTATTACGCAAAGCGTTTCGGGCAGGAAAAACATTAATGACTAAAACTTAATACTAATTGAGTATAAAGAATAAAATGTGTTGAGAACAAATAAAAATAAAGATAAAAAAGGGGGGAACATGGCTGAAAAAATAGCACAAATACAAATTAGATCGACAAACAGCGTTGTTTAAAAAAACAGACATGGGTTGACAATAGAGGGGTAAGGTATGTTACAGGGAATTTATTAGGTAGTGCTTCGTTTTTATCTTAAACTGGTTGAGAGAGGTACAGTCTTTAACATGGTTGGGAAAGTCATTCCACATTCTGGGTCCCTTGATTTGTAGAGCATTTCTAGTTTAAGTCTGTGGCAACAGTCACTCGATGGAGTTCTTAGCCTACCGGAGACCACTGGGCCACCCCCATGTAGTTGGAAGCAGTCTATATCTGCCATCTACCAGGTCAGGCACCCAGAAAGGTATGAATCCCAAAACAAACTACAGCTGGCTAAAAATTGCAAACCGAAAGCCGAACAAGCAAGCAGAACTCCAAATTAGAAAACAAGCAAACAAGCATGACGTCACAACAACGAGGTTAGTTCGATCTTCTCCTCCGATCTTCGCGCGTGGTCTTTTTGACGTGGGTTTATCACCACTTGTATGGTGATCAGGTGACTTCGTTGATGGTGTCCCACCTGCATGCTTTGTCTCAGCATCAGTATGAAGTTTCCTGGGGGTCCTTCCATTATTTCTTGTCCCTTCGTAGGTTTACTTCTGTCCCTGATGAGGTTGTTGTGCCCTTCCTTTCGTGGTTGTTCCAGGATTGTCATCTTATGCCCAATACTGTCGCCTTGTATTGTGCTGTGCTGGCAGAGCCGCTGCAGCTTGCATTTGGCATTGATGTTACTTCTGCACCATTCCGCAAGCTGTCTTGGGCGTTGTTTCACCTCCAGCCTGCTCGTGCGCCACCTGAGCTGTCCTGGTCATTGGATCGGGTGCTCTCTTTTCTCTCTTCCCCTTGGTTTGTGGTGGCCCCTTTGGTTCAGGATTGTTTCTCCAGAGCCCTTGTCTTGTTGGCATTGGCCTCTGGGAGTTGGGTCGGGGAGCTTCATGCACTCCTTCTGTGCAGTGGTTTCTGCTCTTTCGGGCCTGGTGGTAGGTTTGTTCGTTTGCAACCATCTCCTTCTTTTCTGGCAAAGAATGAGACCCCTTTCTGGAGGGGTCCTTGGGTTGTTAATGCTTGGTTGGTTTGGCTGAGGGTGCATCATGTGTTGTGTCCGGTCGCGGCTTTCCGCCATTTCCTGCGCATCACGGCCTCTGTGGCCAGGGATGTGCTTTGGGTTGACCCAGTTTCCCTTCTTCCCTGTTCCAGGGTTCGGGTCTCTCAGGTTGTCTGCAGGGTTATTCGGTCCAGCCAGCCTACGGTCTGTCCCCGTGCCCACAACGTTCGTACGTTTGCTGCACATGCTGTCATCTTCAGTAACATGTGTTGGGCCGACATTCGGGCGCGGGGTTTTTGGAGAACGAACGGGATCCTGGCCGCTCGCTACCTTGTAAATGTTCCTGTGCCTAGTCGGACCTGTGTCGCATTGGGTCAGTGGTTGCAGCCAGTTGTCACGACTTTGAGTTGAGGAGCGAGGGCTGACCATCTCCTGGGCAAGTCCCTCTTGTTTTGTCTTTGGGTAAGTAGCTCCAGCGAACCAAAGGGGCTCCCTCCAGAAAACCAGCGTTGAATGTAATGAAACACCATTTTCTGGGTGAGACCTGGAGGCTCTCCGGCAACCCTTCCTCCCTCCAGTCGGCAGTTTTTCACGTGTTTTGACATCCAGCCTCAGAACTGGGGTGTGAATAGCCGGCGCAGGGATCTGGGGCTTCCTCTTCCCCCTCCCGGGGAGGGGGGGGGAGGTGAACAGACAGCTGTGTGGTGATGTCATGCTAATTTGCTTGTTATCATTTGGGGAGTTCTGTCCACTAGTTTTGCTTTCAGTAGCAATATTTTAACCAGAATAGGGGTTTGTTTTGGGGCGCTTACCTTTCTGAGTGCCTGACCTGGTCGATGGCAGACACAGAATGCTTCCAACCACATGGGGGTTTCTATAGGCCATTGATCCTCATGCCTCTACAAGGGGGCCAGGTTCTGACTCGTGGTCCCTGGTAGGCGTAGAACTCCATTCGCTTAGTCTGATGCCAGGGTCTAATACATTTATATCAGCCCGAGGAACCTCTGGGTCTCATCCAGGAAATGGCGTTTCATTACATTCGATGATAGTTTTATGAGAGTAGATAACAAAGAAGATACAGCAGACTTCCAATCTGATGTAAATCAGGTCTTTCAATGGGCCACTGAAAATAATATGGCATTTCAGAGAGTAATCACACAAATGTGATTGCATCAAAGAGAATATCCATAGAAGCAGAAACATGTCATGGTCTAGTTGCTAGAAGCGTGTGGGTGGGAACATCCACTGCATAGGTTTGAACCCCTATCAGTGCTCCTATGGATATTCTCAATATGGTATTTAATGAAGATAAATTACACCTGTTGCGGTACGGAAAAAATTAAAATACCAGTACTGTATTAAAACGGGAACCACATAAAAAACGCAGTCAAATCATACCATTGAACGAAAAAGCAATGTAAAGGATTTGGGAGTACTCATGTCAAAAGACCTTATCTTTACCCCGTGGGCTGCTCTTGCAATTATAGCCTGCAACACACCCAGGCTCAAGATATAAAAAAAAAATAAGTTTCGTCTTATAAAAGTGTTCGTTTGTGTTCCCTGATCACAAGGGAAAGAAATCGTAGGTGGCATATTTTGGCCGCAATAGGGTGAGGAAGTCTGGCAAAATTGAGGCCTGACAGAGCAAGCTTTGGAGATTTGCTCCGCCTGAGCTGTCAGACGGGAGTTGCCATAAAGATATTATTACTTGATTATTTCAATATCTGATTGATTTTTTCTTAGTTTTTTGCAGTAATATTATTGAATAGTGTGTAGTGTAATATATTTATATAATAAAATGTGTAAATCATTGCTATACTCAAAAGTATTGTGTGCAAATTAGTGATTCAATTATTATGTTCATAAAACAATTTTCAAATAGTTTTACTGTTACAGTATTACAGCAAATAACAGCAACTAATAGCAACAGCAAATAATAGGTCAGCAACACAGGTTATATACCTTACCTTACCTTGAGGTTACCTTGAGGTTACCTTGAGGTTACCTTGAGGTGATTCCAGGGCTCAGCAATCCCGCGGCCTGGTCATCGACCAGGCCTTCTCATTGCTGGACTGGTCAACCAGGCTGTTGGATGCGACTGCTCGCAGCTTGACGTATGAGTCACAGCCTGGTTGATGAGGTATCCTTTGGAGGTGGAGAACTTTGAGGAGCTCCCTCAAGGTCTCTCTTGATCACTGTGAGGGGTCAGCCAGTTATGCCCCTTATGTGTAGTGGAAGCTTGTTGAATAGTCTCGGGCCTCTGATGTTGATAGAGTTCTCTCTCAGAGTACCTGTTGCACCTCTGCTCTTCAACAGGGGTATTCTGCACATTCTGCCATGCCTCCTGGTCTCATGTGATGTTATTTCTGTGTGCAGGTTTGGGACCAGCCTCTCTACTATTTTCCATGTGTAAATTATTATGTATCTCTTCCACCTGGCCTCAAGAGAATACAGATTTAGGCTCTTTAGTCGGTCCCAATAGTTTAGATGTTTTACTGAGTGGATTCTAGCAGTAAAGGATCTCTGCACGCTCTCCAGGTAAGCAATTTCTCCAGCTTTGAAAGGGGCTGTCATTGTGCAGCAGTATTCCACTCTAAAGAGCACTAGCGTCTTGAAAAGTATCATCATCAGTATAGCATCCTCTAGTGTGAAAGGTTCTTGTTATCTAACCTGTCATTTTTCTTGCAGTTGGGACGGCAACTTTATTGTGTTCTTTAAATGTAAGGTCTTCCGACATCAGTACACCCAAATCCTTTACACTTCCTTTCCGTTCTATGATATGATTTGACTGCGGTTTGTACGTGGTTTTCGTTTTTATATTTTCATTTTTTCCGTAGCGCATGAGCTGAAACTTATCTTCGTTAAACACCATATTATTTTCTGTAGCCCATAGAAAGACCTGATTTACATCTGATTGAAGGTTTACCGTGTCCTCTGTTGTCTACTCTCATAAAAATTCTAGCGTTATCTGCAAAGGATGATACCGTACTTGTACTTGAGACATCTTGACACATCTATGACACAGCTATTGATATACAAGTACAGTATCTGCATGCTTTGTTCACCATAACTGTACAACTAAGCTGGTATGTGTCCAAACAGCATAGTGGCCACCCTACACACAGCATGACAAGTCATATAGACAACGCCACCTCCCTCACCAAAATGGCTCCTCCCAACATACTCCTTTTGCTGTTAATTACAATAATACACATGTTATATATAAGTATTTACATTTGTGTTCACCATAGCAAACCACTAAGCTGGTATGGTGAGTGCAGACAATAACAGGTGGCCACACAGTCAGCAGATGCTACCTCCCTCAGCATTACTCCTCCCACCATACTACACAGCACTAATTATCACAACAATCCTGCTATTATCAGAATCCTGGTCATTTCTATCAGTCTTTAGTAATACTAACATCACTATGTAATACTTGTTACATATATATTTTGACATTTTTAGGCAATGCTGTGGTCACAAGCTGAACAGCAGTGCTGCTAACTCATGCAGTGTGTGCCAGCCTTGGTTGCTCACTCAGTAATGAGGCTCTCACACCCAGGAATGTTGCCCACAATTTTTTTTTAAATGGTGTCTGTTTACAAGAGCCCTCAGGAAGCTAATGTGAACCCCGTTTAGCCGCGGGACCTTTAAATCTTACGGGGTACTCCAACATATCAATAGCTGTGGTGTGCAATTCCGCGACAGTTACTCACCACAGCTATTGATGTGTAGCGCAGTTTAAGGGTTAAAGAAAACAATAAAGTAGCCGTCACAACAGCAAGAAAAATGACAGGTTGGATAACAAGAACCTTTCAAACCAGAGATGCCATACCAATGATGATACTTTTCAAGATGCTAGAGCTCTCTAGAGTGGAATAATCTTGCACAATGACTTTCCATCTCAAAGCTGGAGAAATGGCTAAGCTGAAGAGCATGCAAAGATCCTTTACTGCTAGAATCCACTCAGTAAAACATCTAAACTATTAGGACCGACTAAAATGCCTAAATCTGTCTTCTCTAGAGCGCAGGCGGGAGAGACACATAATAATTTACACTTGGAAAATATTAGAGGGGCTGGTCCAAAACCTGCAACAGAAATAACACCACATGAGACCAGAAGGCATGGCAGACTGTGCAGAATACCCCTGTTGAACAGCAAAGGTGCAATAAGTACTCAGAAAGAGAACTCTATCAGCATCAGAGGCCTGAGACTGTTCAACACACTTCCACTACACATAAGGGGCAAAACTGGCTGATCCTCACAGCGTTCAAGTGAGAACTCGATAAACACCTTCAAAGGATACCTGATCAACCAGGCTGTGATTCATATGTCAGGCTGCACACACACATGTCCAACAGCCTGGTTGATCAGACCAATAACCAGGAGGCCTGGTTGGGAATCAGGCTGCTGGGAAGTTGAACCCCAAAATCATTGCAAGGTAACAGCAAGGTAAGGTCGGCACTAACCTCCCCCTTCCCCCAACACACACATACACACACGCTCACACCTATCAAGCTTCCCTGCCACACACTCTCACACCCATCAAGCCCCTACTGTAAATCCATTCACCCAGAAGTGATTGGGTTGGTAAATGATTGGCAGGTCGTGTTCCAGGGGAAACTAGTTGGTAAGGCTTACCATGAGCTATGGGGTGGGAAAGCTCTCAGCCTGCTAACAGAAGTCAGTAGTCATCTGTTCCTGTACCCACCTGTGTAAGAAAAAAATGGTTAGTCACTTGTGGCTCTGAATCGTTTTAAGCTCTTTAGAAACAGGATGGGAGTCAAGGTATTTTTCCTGTAGATCATTGTGTCAAGGCGGTGGAACATCACATTCACGGTCTTGGATCTCTAGCAATATTGATCAGCTTGGAACCCTATTCTTTGAGAAAACTAGATGCTCTTGTCCCAAATGCCAAGGGGCTGTAACCCCTATTGGTCTGGTTTCCTATACAGTACTTGCTGAACTTGTCTGTTCCCTCTTGTTGGCAATGCCACCTAATTAACTAACACTGCCATCTGTCCTCACGGTTGTCACCACATTTATAAAGCTATCAACTACAGCACTGAGGTAGGGGGGCCCCTAGAAAGAGGGCTTCATAACATTCAATGCTAGATTTTTTCTTTCACAATTCAGTTGATCTTCTGTCATCAGACGACAAAGTTGATTTTTCAAAACTCTGCCGGACACACTGACATGATGACACATGGTTGTTCTAAATTAAAAAAAATTCTTGTTATTGTTAAATTACTGACATTATAAAAGTTTGACAAAATTTATTCACTTGTCAAATTTTTCACTATTTAATTTACATAAAATTTTTCACTGTCTTCTGTTTTTCTGGAGTTGTAGTTTTTACTGAAGCTGTGAACTACAGTCCTGTTTCATCTTACATGATATGTTCCTACCTACCTTGAGGCTACCTTGAGGTGCTTCTGGGGCTCAGTGTCCCCGCGGCCCGGTCGTCGACCAGGCCTCCTGGTTGCTGGACTGATCAACCAGGCTGTTAGACGCGGCTGCTCGCAGCCTGATGTATGAGTCACGGTGTTAGTGTTAGATTAAGGATCTTCCCGAAACGTTATGCATGTTAGTAGCTTTGCATGAATGTACAAATTCTAATCTTATGTAATCTCACCAACCCATTGTACCTTCTTGTGAATAATTATTATTATTATTATTATTATTATTATTATTATTATTATTATTTTTATTAAATAGATTTTCTGCATTCCATATGTTATGAGTGAGTAATGATTGAATGGTTGGTTGGGACTCAAATATCCAGTTGGAAATCAATTAGAATTTATTTTTGTTTATCATGAACATTTTATATTAAACTCAATATTGCGTTCTCTATTTTTGTTTTCCAGCTCCAACATGCCGTAAGGAACAATTCACCGAGTACTATGTAGAGAATGGATGCCGTTCAAGGAAGCCCATAAAAAATGCCATCTGCAGTGGCACATGTGGCACGCACTGCTGTAAGCCACGCAGGACAAAGCAGCGCCAGGTTCGGCTTATTTGTAATGATGGAACGTCTTACAAAAAAGAGATTGAAATCATCAGGAAATGTCGCTGTCGTAGACGATGTTACTGAAGCAAAAAGTTATAAAATCAATCGAAGATTGATGGAATGCTAGTATAGTATACTGGTAAGAAAATCAAGCATCTATTATTGAAGAAAGCCTGTGTTATATCAGTAGAGAGAGAGAGAGAACATTGTGAACATAAACATGTGTGTAGTGAGAGAATACTACTTAAGCTATGAAAGTGACAAACAGTAGATTGACCAAGTTCTTCAGGAGATAAGCATGGTATCCAGGGAGGCATAACTATATATAAGGTTCAACCTGAGGCACTGAAAAGGATGGTAGTGTTATTATAATATTATAAATGTAGCAAATCATGATTAACCTCCTACATATCTCCGTGTCCGTGAACCAAACCAGTAAATGTACATTTCTTTTGATCGTAATGTTTGATTATGTAACATAGAAACAGGCTGATTCAGATAATGGTATCTGCAAGGAGAAGTGACCTCATTGAATAGTAAGGTCGTTGCTGTTATAAACACTCCTAGAGGAGACCTAACCCTTGCTATATAAACATTCATGATCAAAAGTGTGCAACTTTGCATATTTGGTTAGAGCCAGTGATGTCACAATAGTCTGAATCTATGTGCAACTGTATTTTATAACTAAACTTGGGAAAAGTTGAAAATCTACTTGTATATGTGGTCAAGCAACTGTTAATCAGTGGTGGAATTCAGCTTTTCTGTAGTTGCTGTAACAGTTTGTATTGACATTTGGTTGATGGTTCTTTGAGCAGAATCTTGGCATCGTTGTTTCTGCATTAGGAGATGGATTCAGCGGTGTAATGCATGTGTAGCTATCTACAGTTTTGAGATCAGCATAGTAGATATACACCTCTCGCCCCCCCCAACTACTTACCTCATAAGCCGTTGTGTTAATTATCCGTTGCAGCATGCAATGTGTGTCATATATCAAAATATGTGTAATGTTTACATAGCTAATGTAAGTCATATGGAATTTACCGGGAATTTCATTTGAAACTTCACGGAGACTAAACTCTTAGCATTGAAACAGATTCATAAACTATTACTATTAAGTTTCAGGATGTACATAGTGATAAATTGTAATTTAGTTCAGATAAATAATTTTATGAACTGTATGATAATTTTATGAAAGGCTTTATTGTAAAGTATGACTGCACTTTTGTTGCATGTAAATTATCATGTCAAAGTCCCTCTCTTGTTTCTGTGTGCTATTAAATTATTTCATATAAAGTATCTCATAATTCATAAGAATCTCAAGGTAAATTTTCTAACCTATTATAAACTTATAATCATTTATATTTTGTACAGAAGATATGACGTATCATAGTGCTGACGTAGTTCAGAGCGTTCCCATATGTAGGCTAGTAAAGTAAATATCTAACCAGGGTAGACAAGCAGGAGATACATATTAATGGCATAGAGCTTTATCAAATACTAAGCAATATATAAGGTTGACCTTGTTGCGCGGTGTGAACATTTCATTATATAAATATGTTATATGACATTTCAGAATTGATGTAAATTAACTTATTGTAATGAACTCTGTATGTATTTCATTTAATAATTTTGTCAAGAAACTACATACAGTAATTAATTTAACATGTGAACCGAATGTCAGACATTGTTTTCACAATTGAAAGATAAATGACTAATATCCATAATATTTAGAGGACTATACATACTGTAAGTCTCCTCAATCTCTCATCCATTGGTAGGATAGATACAATTGCTTCAGCAACCTTTGTGCCATATCCTCTGTGGGGCAGCCAAGGTCAAGCTGGGTCATAAAGTGAGGTAAGCTTTACTACAAGTTCCTACTAGAAATCATGTCCTATTATTTTTCTGAATATAAATTGCTTTAATAGCAAAGAAACTTTGATAGCCTGCATCATCTGAGTACTGTATTGCATAATGTTTACAGGAAGCTTACCTCAGCCAGCGTTGAACAAATTACGGAACGTAAGTATTATGATCTCGCCAGCTACGATGCCCTATTGCTTCCCATTTGTATAAAATGTCTCCTTAAGTGTTGCTTAGTTTAAAGAAAGGCCAAATATATAGGCAAGTGACACAGTGGTACCATTTCCTTCATTTTAAACTTGAAGGTAAATTATTTTAAAAATTACTAAAAGTTAATGGTGTGTGTGTACATAGAATGTCCTCCAATCCTCTCCTTTCACTTCTCTCCACTCACTCCCCTCTTCTCACTTCACTTGTCTGCTCCCTGATCTCCCCTTATTTCCCTTTGTTCCCTCCCTTATCTCCCTCTGTCCCCTCCCTTATCTCTCTCTGTCCCCTCCCTTATCTCCCTTTCTCCCTCCCCTGATCCCATCCCATCTGAGTCCACTCTCTCCTACATTCCTTTTAATTTCTCCTTTCACTCTCCTTCTCTCTCTCCCAATGACAAAACATATGGAGCTGGGGATGTGTATCACACTGGACTGTTAATAGTTAAGAGGAAGGACCCAGGAGCTGAAGCTCAACCCTTGTAAACACAGCTAAGCGAGTACACATACACACACCACAGCATACTAACTCTTACACGTATTTATTTGCATGTGTATGCACCAGTACACATGTACACCCCTAACACACACACACACATAAATGAATACATATACTGTGTACAGTACTGTATATTAAAAAAATAATTGCTGGAGATATGTTACTGAACAGGAGTTATTTTTGTTATTTTTGAAGGAAGTGGATCCGAAGCAGACTCATTCTTACTTTTGTATATATTAAAGTTGTCCCAATGAAGACAGATATATAACCTGATCAAGACAGGTAAACATTGGACACACCCACAGTAAGAACAGACGGCGCAGGTACCACTGTGGTGCCTAACTGGCTCACTCATTCACATGACACTTATATTTCAGCTACAATACTGTACCTATCTGTGCAACCATTTGAGAAAAATTTGTATAGATTTTTCCTTGCAGCTTCATTATGTGAAAGGTTGCATAATAATGATCATGGAATTAGTGATCTGACTCACTAGTTAAAACAATTATCTAATACCACTCTCTGAGATGTACAAAACTCCAGTCTTAATACTATAAACATTATTGTGTCTTATTTTGTTTCTTTATCCCTAAAATGTATATGACAAATAATCATTGATTTTTGTTGTTGCCCATAATTTTACCTGTTTGCCAACCATCTTATAATTAATGATAAAAAGGCAGCTGATACTGCATACTTTACATCAGTGTTCACTAGAAACATTAACATTGCTTTATAATATTACATTTTCTGGGAGGGAGGGAGACAGCCGGACACCCAGTCTAGTCTTACTAACCTGTTTGTTTTTAGAAATGGAAATAACCACAAAGAACTTCCATTAGATATACTGATTCACCTGATTTACCCGAGGGCCACTAACCCTAGTAGCCACGACGAGAACAGGAAGCTGGCAGCTTGTCGAAGGTTCCCGCCATTTGCCTTGATCTTTTCTAGGTATATTTTAAAGTCAACACAGTTTTGGTAGTTACGGCTTCGGCGGGTAGACAGTTCCATGGGTTAACCCTGTGGGTAAAAAAGCCTCTCCTGTTCTCAGTCCTACATTGTGGCTTGTTGAACTTGAAACCGTTGCTTCTTTCCATAGAGCTATAGCACTGTAGCACATGGAATAAACAGAAAATACTAGGATGACAAAGTGATTAAATCTAGGAAAGCAAATAGTAGTCCATAATAGAAATTAATCCAACTGAAAAGTGGATCAATGCAAGGTCCCATTTTAGGGCTAACTTTTTTTTGTTAAATACATCAATTGACATGAAATACTTGTATATCAAAGATACACGGGAAAAACAATAAATTTGATATCATCTCTTGGACAAATTTTTCAGAAGATTATGTATATCATAATTTTGTTTAAACACAAAATTTAATACTGTACTGTAAAGGTTCTACTGGGGCTAAAAAAAATTACAGGTAATCACATTTACCAGTAAAAAAGTTGATAATTTAGAATGTCTTGGTTTGGTGAAATGCCAACAACCATCATAGACAGAAATGCTGGTAACAATACTCTGGGTATCTGATTAACACTCTTGCACACTCAAGATACCCAATTAACACCCACACTCAGGATACCCAATTAACATCCTCTCAATTCCTATATTCGAATTATAAATCAAAATATTTCATCTACGTACTGCAAATATAGAAATTTACCAACTTTACTAATTTACCTACTTTTTGGTTAGCGGCCAAAAGGCCACTAACACTCTAGAGACCTCGACGAGGACAGGAAGCCGGCGATTTGTCAAAGGTCCCTCCTCCCCCCATTTGCTCTGATGAGTGTTTCCAGTTGGATTGTCAAATTTAACAGTTTTGACATTTACGGCTTCGGCGGGTAGGCGGTTCCATGGGTTTATAATCCTGTGGGTGAAAAAACACACCTGTTCTCAGTCCTACAGTGTGGCTTGTTGAGCTTGAAACCATTGCATCTTGTTTGTGTTACATCTTTTGAAGAAGTTAGTCCAGATCGACATCCTCCAAATTGTTCAGTATTTTAAAGAAATTTAAATTTAAATAAGTTTATTGAGGTGTATCTTAAAGGTTTCCTTGAAATCCGCCCTGTCATGCATGGTTTAGTGTTGTTAATCTTGGGGACAATCAACCGTTCCTGATTTGAGAGATGACTTAGCTCTGGAATGATTTTTTTTGCCCGGTGTTGCACCTTCTCCAGAGCAGCTATGTCCTTGTGAAGTTGAGGTAAGGTGAATTGTTTATTTTTATTTTATTTTATTTTATTTATGCATATACAAGAATGTACATAAAGAATGTGAGGATACAAATATGGTAATTACAGTCTTGTAAAGCCACTAGCACGCGCAGCGTTTCGGGCAGGTCCTTAATCTAAGAAAATTTTAAGGAGGTAAATACTTGCAAAATTATAGACAAAAAATGATAACAGATTACATGAAATGAAAAAAAAAGATGAGAGAAAATTGTAGGTACAGTATATTAAAGCACATAGGTAGCTAAGATTGATTGCAATGACAGCTTGAATGGTAGTTGACAAAAAAATTGGTAGGCATAATACAGCAGAAACAATATAAGATTGGTTGCAATGACAGCTTGAATGGTAGTTGACAAAAATTGGTAGTCACAATACAGCATATGGCTAGCACATAAAAGAAGACAGCAATGAACACAATGATAAGGTTGTTTGAAATTACATAAAAATTAGGAGATTGGGTAACACTAGGTACAGAGCAAATTTAAAGCTCAGTGTAGGAAACTAAGAAGATGAAGTTAGGTACTTTTTGGTTTTGCTTTTAAATAAGGCAAAAGTTTTACAGTTTTTCAATTCACTAGGGAGTGAGTTCCATAAACTAGGTCCCTTAATTTGCATAGAGTGTTTACACAGATTAAGTTTGACCCTGGGGATATCAAAGAGATATTTATTTCTGGTGTGGTGATAATGGGTCCTATTACATCTGTCCAAGGAGAGTTTCAGAGCATGGTTTGCATTTAAGAACAGGGTTTTGTAAATGTAGTTGACACAAGAGAATGTGTGGAGGGAGTTAATATTGTCAAGAAAGCCTAAACACCCTCTCTAATATAGGCCTTACGATACAACCCTCTCTAATATAGGCCTTACGATACAATTTTTTTATTATATAATGTTAATTTTTATATTGAAAAATGCATGTTTTGGACCCATTGTGCGTTAGATGAACGAGCGAACACTTGCCATGCCATCCCACAGCCACGTTTGTCCAAGCCTCGTCGGCCTCAGAAACGCATCCATCAACTTTAACATTCTATATCCTAAATCGGTATTTTCTTAAGTAAAATAAACTTAACTCTGTCTACTAATTTTTTAAGTGTAAGTTATACCTATATTGGGCTAGGTGTTTAGGTTTTGTATTTTTTTTTAATTTGCCTCATATCGTACACACATATATATATGTATAAATATATTGTGACGATAATCTCCTTCAAGAGATTGAGCCTGCTCTTCCCTCCAAAATTACGTCTTCACAATTATATAAAAAGACTATGGAAGAAATGTCCAACAACACCAGCAAGGCTTGCCAGGGTGAGCAGAAACGTATGCAACCAGCCACCTGTTCGAACTCCAACCACCAAACTACCCGTTGATCGCTACGGCTCCGCTGATTGGTCGCCGGTCTGGCTGCACCTGCACTCGCCCCCAATACTACCTGATGTCTGGGGTCGCCCCAACATCAGTCCTCAGAATGTTCCGTGCTTTCGTAGCCAGCACTCCTCCCAGCTAGACGTTAGCGTGTACTGAGAGAGGTGGTGGCTTTAAGCCAATATTCCAGCACCTCCCACTTAAACTTTGTGTTGCACTTCTTGTTATTTTGCCTTAACGTAACTTTCATTGTGTCATTTAAGTATTCTTATTATTTTGATTCATTGATTTTATTATACATATTTGTTTGTGCATTATTTTCATGTTTTGATTTATTTAACGTAATTAAAATTTCATTGTTAAAGTTTACTTGTGTTTTGTGTGTCTTCTCCTTACCTTACCACAGACGAAGTTCCAGTTTTTCTATTTTTTTTTATAACTATGTGACGAGGCCATACCCCTAGCCTTAAACAGCCGAACACCAACGCGTTACCGTCACAATATATATATAAATTAATATTATTATACATAAAAATTCTATGTATAGTTAGGTATAGGTTAGGTGTTTAGGTTCTCTGTTGGCGATTATTTGTACTTGAAGTATTTGAGTGAAGCATTTATAGAATTGTGGTTCGAACAGAGGACGCGAGCGAAGCACTTGTTCCTGATGTGTTCGGACGTCATCAGTCGTGAGTCGTGTGTAAATCGTTTTTTATTCATAAACAGGGAGTTTGGTGACTGGATTAACGAGTTTGGATTTTTGTATGCGATGACGGATTCGAGCTGAGTACGTAGGTGGAGGATTCGAACACTGGGGCTGCAGGGCAATGATCGAAGCGTTTGATCAGTGTTTTGATGAACCAACAGCCGGCTTCGAGCGAGTTTATGAGCTATGACTCTCAAAAGGAAGACCTCGGCCCTCTAGGTCACACTTCCGCCGGTCAGGTCGTTAAGCTACGTAGTTAATGTGATGAATGTGATGGAATAGTGTAAGGTGTTACTGCAAATATTAATAACTACTGCCAGATAAGAAAGTGCGTCAAGAGGACTGGTTATTGTAGTCTTCAGTGAAGATTACATAAATACCGAAAGGGGTGTAAACAGCTTCTCGTCCAGACGGGTTTTCGAAGGACAGAAGCCACCAGCATTTACAGTATGAGGTATATAAATTTCATGTTTTCTTCTGTTTCCATTGCTGCTATATTATGTCTAGTAATTATAATCACAAGAAAAGTGTTAGTCGGATCACTTCAAAGTTACTTCATAGACAGTTACTTCATGACATACTGCCATGTTAATGTAGATCATTAGGTAAGTTCCACAAATTTACAGTAAATTATTTAACACCCATCCTCAGAGCGAATCCATTACCATGAGGAACCACACTCCCCTTCAAACCACCTGGGTTTGATATTATCTAGATATTTGTGGTGTGAAACCATATTACTGTTCCAGTAATAGTCTATTTGGAAACTGGCAAAGGTTGCTGGTCTGATCAACCGGGATGCGGTTGCTCGCAGCCTGGTCGTACGAGTCACAGCCTGGTTGATCAGGCATCCTTTGAAGAATATTTTATTTTTAAACACAGTGGTCGGCCAGTTGTGCCCCGTATGTGTAGAAGTGTTGAAAAGTCTTGGTTGGGCCTTTGATGTTTATCGAGATCTCTCAGCGTGCCTACTGCACCTCTGCTCATCATTTTGCACATCCTGCCATGCCTCCTGGTCTCATGTGGTGTTATTTCTGTGTGCAGATTTGGAACCAGTTGTTCTAATAATTTCAAAGTGTAAATTATTATGCATCTCTCCTGCCTGCGCTCTAGAGAACACAGATTTAATTTATTTTAGGCGGTCCAAATAATTTGGGTGTTTTATTGAGTGGATTCTAGCAGTAAAGGATCTTTGCACGCACTCCAGGTTAATCATTTCTTCAGCTTTGAATGGGACTGTTAGTGTGCAACAATATTC